GAGCACGCGGTGAACTTCAGCCAAGCCTTAGGAGCGGTTTGGGTCAAGAACCTGCAGGCAGGAACCGGCCTCCTCACAGGGGCTGGAGCCGCGCTGCTGCTTCTCCTCTGAGAGGAGAGGAACGCATCCCTGCTGGGGATGAGGATGTGAGGTGGCTGCTTGGGCATGGGAGGGTGCGTGGCTGCGGTGCTTGGTCCCATGGGTGGCTGGGGGTCCGGATGGACTGGAGAGTGCTATGGAGCAGGCAGGAGGGCAGCGGGATGGGAGATGGTGCCAGACGTGCTTGTCCTGGGTCCAGGGAGAAGAGAGGACCGAGGCACCGTGGCCTTGCCTCCTCCCAGTCTCCCAGAGTGACCGGAGGAGGGTGACAACCACCTTGTCCTTATTTTCTCCTCCAGATCAGGAATAAATGCTGGTGGCACCACAAATGCCTGCCCAGTGCTGTCCATCCCATGCCTGCCTTGTCTGACAGCAGCTCTCCCCAGGCCCCAGAACAACACCATTAAGCCTTTTTCTGTGGACTGTTTCAGTCCTGGTCGATGGGAGCGGTTTAAAAGGGAGCAATTGATTGTAAGCTGCAATCTGATCTTCTGTAAACCTTCTCCTCGTGTCCCCAGCGATCCCTCCAGGCTGCCTCCGCGCCTGCCAAGGGCTTTCTGGAAGCGAGGAGCTCTGGAGCTTTGCCTGTTCCACGTGGGGCCACCATTAGCAGCACACGGAGCTGCCGGGAACCCCTGAAAGGCCTGAGAGGACCAAGATGACCTGTGGCCGGTTCCTTTTGTCCCCAGTCACCTCTGGGATTTTAATGCAGCATTTATTTATGCAGCCGCAGAGGTCGGTGTCACTTTTCTGGTCAGTGCAGCACAAGTCTGAGCACGTTCGTGTTTGCATGAGCAGGGAACGTTTCCTCCCCTGCAGCCTGCCTGATGCTCCTCAACACACGCCAGAGCCTCCCGGATCCCAGCAGATCACTGGCTGCAGCTTTAAGCACCAGGGTGCGGCTTCAGGGTCAGAGAGGAGATGGTTCAGAGGTGGGAGGCTGTGGCAGGACAGCCTTGGCCTGTGCTGTGGGTCACGGGCAGGGGGATGGTCCCTCTCGGCGTGGCTGTTGGTGCAGTGAGCACCCAGGCGTGGGGATGGGAGCACAGGGTGCGGCGGTCCCGCAGGCTGGGTCCTGCTGCGGGTCGCGCGCAGGAGCACTGCGGCCCCGCGAGGAGGCAGGGGAGGAGCTGGCACCGGAGGTGTTGAGGCCAACTATGCCTGCACCAGGCACCAGTGACCTCTGTGCCGAGCTCCGGCTCCAGGGTGGCCTTGTGGCAACCCAGAGGTTCTTTGGGTCTGAGCTCTGCATTTGACTCCTTGGAACAGGGTGCCCAGAGAAGCTGTGGCTGCCCCATCCCTGGCAGCGCTCAAGGCCAGGTTGGACACGGGCTTGGAGCACCCTGCTCCAGTGGAAGGGGTCCCTGCCCATGGCAGGGGTTGGAACTGGGTCAGCTTCAAGGTCCCTTCCAACACAAACCCGTCTGCAGTTCCGTGGTTCTCAGCCCTGGGGCCAACCACTGCTTTCAGGAGCGGGTGTTTCTCCCGGCCATGAGCTGATTTTCCAAGGGTGTTCTGGGGAGAAGGGGGACAGCAGCTCCACAGAGAGCTCTGGGACCAGCGGAGCCCCTTGGGGCAGCAGCGCTTGCTCCTCCTGCACAGCCTGCACCAGGACAATGCCTCAACCCAGCCCGGCTGCCGAGAGCTCCTGCTCCCCCTGGCCCAGAGTCAGAGCCAGAGAGCCAGGGAATCACAGAATCAGGGAGGTTGTTAACCTCATCCAGTCCAACTGTTCCCACCCCTGCCAAGATCACCACTGCCCCATGGCACTGAGGCCTTGTCTCCACAGTGTATGAACACTTGCAGGGATGGTGCCTGCAGCCCTGCCCTGGGCAGCCTGTTCCAATGCCTGAGCACCCTCTGGGGCAGGAATTGTTCCTCAGCTCCATCTAAACCTGCCCTGGTGCAGCTTGAGGCCGGTTCCTCTTGTCCCATCCCTTGTTCCTTGGGAGCAGAGCCCAGCCCCTCCTGGCTCCATCCTCCTGGCAGGCACTTGGAGGGAGCCATCAGGTCCCCCCCGAGCCTTCTCTTCCCCATCTGAACTCCCCCCAGGTCCCTCAGCCCTTCCCCATCACCCCTGTGCTCCAGGCCCTGCTCCAGCTCGGTTCCCTTCTCCGGCCCCACTCCAGCACCTCAAGGTCTCTCTTGCAGTGAGGGGCCCGGAGCTGAACACAGGATCCAAGGTGCGGCCTCCCCAGTGCCCGGTGCAGGGGCTCAATCCCTGCCCTGGCCCTGCTGCCGCACTGGTGCTGGTCCAGCCCAGATGTGGTGGCTTCTTGCCTGCCAGGGCACAGGCTGGGTCATGTCCATCAGTCAGCACCCCCAGCTCCCTTTCCATGGGGCACTTTCCAGCCCCCCCTGCCACAGCCCCCCCCACCTCCACCAGCAGCACCAGCGCCTCGGGCATGCCCATGGGTTTCACTGCGGCCGAGCAGGGGCCGGATGCTCCTGTGCTGTCCGCAGTTGCGCCGGGTGCTGGCGCATCGCTGCCGGCCGTGCCGGGCTCCATGCACTGCACGTGGACCTGTGAGCGCAGAGCACAAGTGACAGAGGAGCTCTCTGTCCTGCAGCAGGGCCTGGCTGGCCTCGTCCCACAGGTGCTGGGGACCTGCCCCAGCACGGGCAGAACCATCCCAGCTGGGGAAAGGGGCTGGAAACGTCTGCCCAGGCTGCCACTGGGGGGACAGCCTCAGCCTGTCCCCGTCCCTGCGCCTGGAGGAGCAGGGGGGTTGCAGTCACAGAACCCTGGAACCGCCAGGGCTGGGAGCAGCCTCTCAAGCTCCTCCATCCCCCCCCCAGGCAGGGCTACCCAGAGCAGGGCACACTGGAGCGAGTCCAGTGTGGCTCTGGGATGGCGTCAGACCCCACCTCCAACCCCTGGGCAGGCTGTCCCAGGGCTTAGCCACCATCAACCTCAACCAGTTCTTGCTCATAGAATCATGGAATGGTTTGGGTTGGAAAGGACCTGAAGATGATCCAGTTCCAACCCCCCTGCCATGAGCAGGGACACCTCACCCTAAACCATGTCACACAAGGCTCTGTCCAACCTGGCCTTGAACACTGCCAGGGATGGAGCATTCACAGCTTCCTTGAGCAAACCATTCCAGTGCTTCAGCACCCTTACAGTACAGAACTTCTTCCTTATATCCAGTCTAAACTTCCCCTGTTTCAGTTTTAACCCATTACCCCTTGTCCTGTCACTGCAGTCCCTAATGAAGAGTCCCTCCCCACCATCCCTATAGCCCCCCTTCAGATACTGGAAGGCTGCTATGAGGTCTCCACGCAGCCTTCTCTTCTCCAGGCTGAACAGCTCCAACTTCCTCAGCCTGTCTTCATACGGGAGGTGCTCCAGTCCCCTGATCATCCTCGTGGCCCTTCTCTGGACTTGCTCCAACAGCTCCATGTCCTTTTTATGTTGAGGACACCAGAACTGCACACAATGCTCCAAGTGAGGTCTCACGAGAGCAGAGCAGAGGGGCAGGATCACCTCCTTGGACCTGCTGGTCACGCTTCTTTTGATGCAGCCCAGGATACAGTTGCTTTCTGGGCTGCAAGCGCACACTGAAGCCGGCTCATGTTCATTTTCTCATCGACCAACACCCCCAAGTCCTTCTCTGCAGGGCTGCTCTGATCTCTTCTCTGCCCAGCCTGTAGCTGTGCCTGGGATTGCTCCTACCCAGGTGTAGGACCTTGCACTTGTCATGGTTAAACCTCATGAGGTTGGCATCAGCCCACCTCACAAGCGTGTCAAGGTTCCTCTGGATGGCATTCCTTCCCTCCAGGGTATCAACCGAACCACACAGCTTGGTGTCATCGGCAAACTTGCTGAGGGCGCACTCAATCCCACTGTCCATGTCAGCGACGAAGACGTTGAACAAGACCGGTCCCAACACCGATCCCTGAGGGACACCACTCGTTACTGGTCTCCAGCCGGACACTGAGCCATTGACCACAACACTTGGTGTGCTGCCATCCAGCCAGTTCTTTATCCACCGAGTGGTCCATCCATCAAATTGATGTCGCTCAGATTTAGAGACAAGGATGTTGTGTGGGACAGTGTCGAATGCTTTACACAAGTCCAGGTAGATGACATCAACTGCTCTACCCCTGTCATGTTGAGGTGAAGTTTCTCATGGGTCAGTTTCTGGCCATTGGTCCTCATCCTGTTGCTGGCACCACTGAGAAGAGTCTGGATGCAGCAGGCACCACTCCTGGAGTGCAGGACCCCTGGTCCTGGAGTGTCTCTGTGGTGCTGAGCTCCTGTCAGAAGCCTTTATAGCAGGTTTGACCTAGGCTGGAGCTGGGACAGAGTGGTCCTGGATGGACCCAGCATAGGAACAGGGCTGCTGCTGCTGCTGTGTTTGTGCTGGATGTGGCCTGTGGAGGTGATGGCCATGGAGCTGCTCTCCTCAGGATCCTGGGACAGACAGAGCCCAGGGCACGGGCACTGCTCCCTGTCTCCTCAGGATGTTTAAAGAGATGATGTTATGGCTTTGGATCATCTGGAGCTTCTACTTTGCTCCGTCCAACATGAGTGTGAGCACCAGCCATGGGTGTGGGTTGCCCCATCATGGCTGCTGGGAAGTGGGGTCCATGTGGGGTCCCCAGTGGTGTGCAGGAGTGGGGCCAGCAGGTCACTGCCACCGCTGGCTTCTCCCTGGGCTACACGAGTGGAGAGGGCTGGAATGGGAGGTGCTCCACAATGCTGGCTGTCTCCAGTGCCCTGGAGATGGGGGTCTGAGCTCCCCAAGGCAGGTTCCCAGGGCAGGGAAGGAGGCAGCTCCTCCCCATCTCCTGGCCAGGCCCTGCCATGGGCTCAAGTCCTCACCCGTGCCCATGCAGCACGTTCCCTGGGGGGGCCGGGAGCTGCAGGCAGTCTCCCACCTCCCTGTGCCCCGCAGGTGAACCAGGGGAACATGCCTGGCATCCAGAGCACCTTCCTGGCCATGGACACGGAGGAGGGCGTGGAGGTGGTGTGGAACGAGCTGCTCTTCACTGACAAGAAGGCCTTCAAAGCACACGAGGTGAGACATCCCCCCCAGCAGGGCCTGCGTGCACCTCCCCACTCCCAGCGCTCGGAACCTGCCTGGGGGCAGTGCCAGGCACCGTGCTCCTGCCTTCCCTGGGCTTCCCTCCCAGAGCAGCTCCATGTGTCCTCTGTACCCCAAAGCCATGGCACAGCCTCCTCTCCAGCCCAGGCTCCCTTGCTCTTGGAGGTGTCCTGCATATCCCAGGACCTGCCACCTCCCTTGTCCCCTCCCTGTCCGCAGGAGAAGATCAAGACCATGTTTGAGCAGCTGGTGCTCGTGGATCACCCCAACATTGTGAAGCTTCACAAGTACTGGCTGGATGTGAAAGACTCGAAGGCTCGGGTAGGGAGGTCTGGGGGGGGTTCCCCAGGCTGGAGGGGGGATGTCAGCAGGTGGGGATGGGGAACCCGGCTCTGCTCCTCACCCCACTCCACAGGACTCCCATCCTCTGGGACGCTGCTGCTGGGCAGCAGGCTGGGAAGCTGATGCCGCTCTTCCCTGCCAGGTCATCTTCATCACAGAATACGTGTCCTCAGGGAGCCTGAAGCAGTTCCTGAAGAAAACCAAGAAGAACCACAAGGCCATGAATGCCAGGGTGAGTTCCTGGGAGCACACACGGGGTGTCCCAGGGGAGTGGGCAGCTCTGTAGCTGCAGGCAGAGGTTCTGTCATGTCTTGTAAGGCGGAACAAGTGTAAATGGTGCTTCCTGAGTTACTCAGGCACTCTGCTGGAGCGAGGTGGCTTCTTGGTGAGAGCTGGAGCAAGAGCAGAACTTCCCCAGGGCAGCCCAGAAGTGGATCCTGCTGCTGCAGTGATGCTTATGCTCCTGGGGCTGCATCATTCTTTGGGGGACCAGCATCTCCAGCACCCTCAGTGAAGGACAGTGGGTGTGTGGCTGGGTTACTGCTTGGGTTGAAGGGACCGGTTTCACCAGCAAACCCACCCAGTGTGAGTCTGACAGTGGGTTCAAGCAGGTCTCAGCTCAGGAGCTGCGTGACTGTTTGGGGGGCCCTTGCAAGCCCTGCCATGTAGTTTGGGCTCGGTGTCACGCCAGTGCAGTCAGGCACCACCGCCACTGTGTGCATGGACCTCACAACCACAACGGGCTTTGCCTCCTGTGTCCGTGCTCCCGCTGGAGTCTGGCAGTTCAGGGGAGCTCTGTGCTGGGGATGGGCTCTCAGCTTTGACAGTGCTCTTTGAGCAGGGGTTGGGAAGGAGACTGTTGTCATGTGCCTCATCTTTGGTACCAGTCTCCTCAGGGCTGGTGTGGGGCACATCTCCCCAGCCTCTGGTAGGCAGCTGGGAATGTCCTGCTCTGGCTCCTGCACTCTGATGGGCATCTGGTCTGATGGAGGGCTCTGATCTCTGCTCTAGGCCTGGAAGCGCTGGTGCACCCAGATCCTGTCTGCTCTCAGGTAAGCTTTGGCATTGCCGTTGTCCTGCTTCCCACGGGGCTGGGCACCGGCCACGTCCTGAGGGCAGCTCTGTGCTTCTCAGCTTCCTGCACTCCTGTGAGCCACCCATCATCCACGGCAACCTCACCAGCGACACCATCTTCATCCAGCACAACGGCCTCATAAAGATCGGCTCAGGTGAGACATTCCCGCGGCTCCGGGTGCTGAGGAGGGGTAGAGTCAGCAGGAGGAAGCTGTGAGATGCGGGAGGTGGGATGCAGGGAGACGTGCGGGAATGTGCTGGGGGGGTTCTGGGAGGGCAGAGGAGGTGAGCGCTGCAGGGCTCCTTGGAGCATCACGAAGCTTGGAGTTATCTTCTCTTCTCTTTGTGTCCTCTGCTCTGTGCCTCATCCACTCATCTGCTTCGGAATCGGCACGGACCCCAGTCTGGCACAGGGTGTTTGCCAATGGTGAGTGTCCCTCTGTCACCTCCCCGGCACATTGGTCCTATCCCTGGGTCCATCTTCCTGCCGTGGGCTCTGCAGGTGGGGGCGGGGGGGAATGTTTGTTCCTTGGGGAATTGTCCTGGGAGCAGAGGGGTGTCCTGGGAGAGTGAGTGTCCCAGCGTGGTCTGCATGGGCAGCAGCAGTGGCCAGTTCTGGGCTCCTCAGCACAAGAAAGACAAGAAACTGCTGGCTACTGTCCAGTGCAGGGCCACAAGGATGCTCAGGGCTCTGGAGCATCTCTTTGGTGAGAAGAGCCTGCGGGAGCTGGGCCTGTTGAGCCTGGAGCAGAGCAGCCTGGGAGGGATCCATCAGAGCAGAGCAGGGTCTCCAAGGCGGGTGGGATGGGGCCAGGGAAAGGATGAGGAGCAATGGGCAGAAACTGACCCCGAGGGGCTTCACCTCCACATGAGCAAGAGCTGGGTGAGGTCCAGGGTGGCCGAGCCCTGGGGGAAGGGGCGGGGGGGGGGTGGCTGGAGTCATCCCAGAGCCACCATGGACCCGCTCCTGTGTGCCCTGCTCTGGGTGGCCCTGCCGGGGTGGGGGGATGGAGGAGCTCCAGAGGCCCCTTCCAGCCCTGATGATTCGGGAATTCCGGGAGCACAACCGGACTCCATCCCTGGTGCCCCGAGCACCCCCGCGCCCGCAGCCCTGCAGGGCCCCTGCAGCACGGGGGTTGCTCAGGTTTTCTCCTCCCTGAGCAGCTCTCCCGGATGACCTGCGGAGCCCCATCAGGATCGAGAGGGAGGAGCTGCGCAACCTCCACTTCTTCCCACCGGAATACGGCCGTGAGTGCGGCTCTGGGTGTGGGTGCAGGGGCTGGGTACAGGGCTGGGTGCGGGCTCTGGGTGCAGGCTCTGGTGAGGGCTCTGGGTGCAGGTCTGGGTCTGGGTGCGGGTTGTGGTGCAGGGTCTGGGTGCAGGTCTGGGTCTGGGTGCGGGTTGTGGTGCAGGGTCTGGGTGCGGGTTGTGGTGCAGGGTCTGGGTGCGGGTGCGGGTGCGGGCTCTGGGTGCAGGCTCTGGTGAGGGCTCTGGGTGCAGGTCTGGGTCTGGGTGCGGGTTGTGGTGCAGGGTCTGGGTGTGGGTTTGGGTCTGGGTGCAGGTTGTGGTGCAGGGTCTGGGTGCGGGTGTGGGTCTGGGTGCGGGTTGTGGTGCAGGGTCTGGGTGCGGGTGTGGGTCTGGGTGCGGGTTGTGGTGCAGGGTCTGGGTGTGGGTTTGGGTCTGGGTGCAGGTTGTGGTGCAGGGTCTGGGTGCGGGTGTGGGTCTGGGTGCGGGTTGTGGTGCAGGGTCTGGGTGTGGGTTTGGGTCTGGGTGCGGGTTGTGGTGCAGGGTCTGGGTGTGGGTTTGGGTCTGGGTGCGGGTTGTGGTGCAGGGTCTGGGTGTGGGTTTGGGTCTGGGTGCGGGTTGTGGTGCAGGGTCTGGGTGCGGGTGTGGGTCTGGGTGCAGGGTCTGGGTGTCCCAAAGATGTGGCCTGATGTGGTTCTGCCTTGGTTCTGCAGAAAAGACAGACGGGACAGCCGTGGACATCTTCTCCTTTGGGATGTGCGCACTGGAGGTACGGAGCAGGAACTGCTCTGCCAGTTTATAGGCCAGGACTGAGGGGGCCTGCAGCTTCCCAAGGACTCTCAAACCTCTGTGTGAGCTGGGGACTCATGGCAGCTGTGGAAACATCACTGCTGGGGTCAGCAGAACATGTTCTGTGGCTGTGGCCCCCCCCTGCCCCGGGTGCAGCATGGGCTGAGCTCTGCTGGGCTCAGCTGGTGCCTCCTCTTCCTCCTCAGGCTGTGACAGCCCTGGGAAGGGGCAGGGGCAGGCTGTGCAGCTCCATAGAACCATGGAATGGTTTGGGTTGGAAGGGACTTAAAGCTCCTCCAGCTCCAACTCCGGCCAGGGCAGGGACTCCTTCCACTGGAGCAGGGTGCTCCAAGCCCCCTGTGTCCAACCTGGCCTTGAGCCCTGCCAGGGATGGGGCAGCCACAGCTTCTCTGGGCACCCTGTGCCAGCGCCTCAGCACCCTCCCAGGGAAGAGCTTCTGCCTAAGAGCTCATCTCAGTCTCCCCTCGGGCAGGTTCAAGCCATTCCCCTTGGCCTGTCCCTACAGGCCCTTGTCCCAAGCTCCTCTCCAGGTTCCCTGCAGCCCCTTCAGGCACTGGAGCTGCTCTAAGGTCTCCCCTTCAGGAGCCTTCTCTTCTCCAGGCTGCCCCAGCCCGGCTCTCCCAGCCTGGCTCCAGAGCAGAGCTGCTCCAGCCCTCGCAGCAGCTCCGTGGCCTCCTCTGGGCTCGCTCCAGCAGCTCCGTGTCCTTCTGGTGCTGGGATCCCCGGGGCTGCCTGCAGGACACCACCAGGGCGGGCTGTGGGCTGTTGGTGCCATCTGCATTGTCCCCACTCTGCCCTGTGCCAGGGAGGAACGTGTGAGCAGGGACGCAGTGTCCGGGGTGCGCTGGGGAGCCCAGCAGCTCCAGAGCCCGACCGGGCTGTGTCCTGTGAGGGGCTCCAGAGACGGCACCAGCTGGGGGATGTCCCTTTGGGAAGCTGTCCAGGGCCGTCCCAGGGCTTGGCCAGGGGCAGACGCAGCTGCACTTGCTCCCTCCCCAGATGGCCGTGCTGGAGATCCAGACCAACGGGGACACACGGGTCTCGGAGGAGGCCATCATGCGGGCCCGGCATTCCTTGGATGATCCCAACATGCGGGTGAGTGCAGAGGCTGAGCCTCAGGGACCTGCCCGGGGGTCAGGGATCCCTCCTGCAGGTGAATGGCCCCTCGGCTGGTATCTGCAACGTCGGGCACTGAATGTGTGTGGGGTCAGGCTGTGTGCATGTGTGTGTCAGGCTGTGTGCGTGTGTGTGTCAGGCTGTGTGCGTGTGTGTGTCAGGCTGTGTGCGGGAGTCAGGCTGTGTGCGTGTGTGTGTCAGGCTGTGTGCGTGTGTGTGACAGGCTGTGTGCGTGTGTGTGTCAGGCTGTGTGCGTGTGTGTGTCAGGCTGTGTGCGTGTGTGTGTCAGGCTGTGTGCGGGAGTCAGGCTGTGTGCGTGTGTGGGTCAGGCTGTGTGCGTGTGTGGGTCAGGCTGTGTGTGTGTGGTCAGGCTGTATGTGTGAGTCAGGCTGTGTGTGTGTGGTCAGGCTGTATGTGTGTGGTCAGGCTGTATGTGTGTGTGTGGTCAGGCTGTGTGCGTGTGTGGTCAGGCTGTGTGTGTGTGGGTCAGGCTTTGTGTGTGGGTCAGGCTTTGTGTGTGGGTCAGTCTGTGTGTGTGTGGGTCAGGCTGTATGTGTGGGTCAGGCTGTATGTGTGGGTGTCCTGGGTTCCGCAGTAGCAGTCATGTTTTTCCTTTGTGTTAACTGGTGCAGTGCAGTGTTTTGACTTTCAGCTCGGGAACAGAGCTGATAACAAGGATATTTTGGTTTGGCCAAGGACTTTGTGAGCCTCATGCTCTGCCAGGGAGGAGGGGAGGCTGTGAGGAAGCAGAGACGGGGCGCCTGACCCGGGCTAGCTGGGGAGGTATTCCATACCACAGCACGTCATGCCCGGGGTGAGGGGTAACTGGGAGTTACCCGGAAGGACAGGGGCTTCCGGGTGGAACTCGTTTTCTTGGCCGGTGGTATCGTATTCTCTTCCCTTGTTATTTTCCCTTATCATTGTTTTAGCTGATAGTAGCGGTGGTGATTTGTTGCTGGACTGTTCTTGTCTCAACCCGTAGGAGTTGCACTCTCTCGATCCTCCTCCCCGTTCCTCCGGGAGCGGGAAGGGGAGAGCCCCGGTGGGGGGGGGGGAGACGGACACGGACCTCGATTGTTGTCAGCCCAGCACCACTCACTGGGAGTGAGTGAACAAGCTACCTGACTGGGTTTAAACCACGACAGTGGGTCAGGCTTTGGGGGGAGGGGGTGTCAGGTTATGTTGGTTCCCATCCTGTCATCCTTCTTCTGGCCTTTCCTTGCTCTCCGTCTCTCCTGAGTAGCCATGGCCAGCTGAGGGGCCCCAGCCTGGAGCTCGCAGGAGGGGCAGGATTTGCTCCATTCTGCTTCCCAGGGAACCTGAGCGTGAGCTGGTGCTGGCGCTGCCAGCAGGGGGGAATGTCCTGATTGCCTTGGTTTATGCCTTTGCTGTGACCTGCAGGAGTTCATCCTGTCATGCTTGACTCTCAACCCAGACAAGCGACCAACTGCAAATAACCTGCTCTTCCACCGGGTGCTCTTTGAGGTCCATTCCCTCAAGCTGCTGGCAGCTCATTGCTTCATCAACAACCAGTGTGAGTGAGCAGGGGCCCTCCCTGCCCCACAGAGCAGGCCTGGGACCCCCATCTGACAGCCCCTCGCTGCCTTTGCCCTAGACCTGATGCCAGAGAACGTGGTGGAGGAGAAGATAAAGGACCTGGACCTGAATATGGTGATGGCAGAGATCCGGAGAGAGGGTCGGCCCGGAGCGCAGTGGAGGTGAGGAAGGGGAAGTCAGAGCAGCCGTGGCGTGAGCCCAGGACTGATGGTGCTGGTGGTGGTGGTGCGATGGCACAGGAACCCTTCCCACTGCTCTTTTCTCCTGCCTCCCCCATCACCTCCCGTCCTCTTTCCCTCCCAGGTACTCGGAGGTTTCCTTCCTCGAACTCGACAAGTTCCTAGAGGATGTCAGGTGGGTTGAAGGTGCTGCTGGGCCCCCGGGCCTGTGTCTGCCCACCTCTGATCCCCAGCAGCTCCCTGCCCGCAGCTCCCTGGGCAGCACAGAGCCAGGGTCCAGGTCTGTGCCATCGGCCCAGCAGTGCTTGGTCGTGGTGATCCCCTCCGCGCTTCCCCTGGGACTGAGCAGACTTGGGCTGCAGTGCAGGGTGAGGGGAGCTCTGTGCCCTGCTCCCTGCCAGCTCTGCCACTCCGTGGGTGCAGATCCCTGCTCTGGGCCGTGGCATTCCACAGCTCAGCTCACCTTTGAGAGGGCTCAGCTCTGTCCTCCCTCTGTGTCTGCACCAGGAATGGGATTTACCCCCTGATGAACTTCGCTGTTTCCAGACCCCATGCCCTCCCGCGTGCCCTCTCCCAGCCCCAGGAGGACCCTCAGAAAGCCAAGACTCCCACCCCAGAGCCCTTTGATGTGGAGACCAGGAAGGTAAGGCCAGATCCAGCTGGGGCTGGATTCTCCACTGGGACGACATGGACCAGCTCCACTCCTGAGCCTAGGGCAGGAATATCTCCCTTTAGCCACACACTGAACTCCAGTTGGGTGGGAGCTGTTCTTGTGCTGGCTGCCCAGGACTGTGACATCCCTTTGGCTGGAGCCAGCGAAGTCCATTTTACCTAAGCCCTTCTGGAGCAGCCCCATTGCCTCCAGTTCTTTGCTCTGCCTTTCCTCCTCCCCAGGAGCCCCATGGCACAGGGTACTATGTGCTTTGGTCACTGCAAGTGGGGTTTTGGCCCCCGAGGGAAGCAGGGGGGAGCGTGGCAGGGAAGGACCAGCACAACATGTCCTGGTTTAAGCAAGGCGGTGGCTGGGCCCAGGCAGCTGCTCCCTCACCCCACACTGGAATTGGGGAAGAGAACTGGAAAAGTGGGACAGTCGTGGCTGGGATCAGGACTGTTCAATGGGCAGAGCAGGAGCTGCTGCTCGAGCAAAGGGAAACAAGGAATTCATTCAGCCCAGTTCAGCCACCCGAGGGCAGCCGGGCTCCACCACGCGTCACAGCGACACAAACACCATCACCCCAAACACCCCCTTCCTTCTCCCAGGCTTCCATGCTGAGCATGATGTCCCATGGTCTGGGATATCCCTGAGGTCAGTTTGGGTCAGCTGTATCCCCTCCAGCTCCTTGTGCACCCCCAGCCTGCTCACTGGGGGTTGAGAGGCAGAAAAGGCCTTGGCTCTGTGCAAGCTCTGCTCAGCAATAAGGAAAACATCTCTGTGTCCAGCACAGTTCCAAAACACAGCCCCCATCCTAGCTATTGTGAAGAGAATGAGCTCCATCCCAGCCCAAACCTGCGAGGGTGCCGAGCAGGAGCGAGGCCATCCAGCACCATGGTGTAAGCCAGCACTGAGCAGTTCAGTGCTGCAGTGTAACCCTTCGTGGGTATGAGCACGCTGCTGGTTCGCCCCCCAACACCTTCCCTTTCACAGGCAGAACAAGCCCAGTGCTTTCAGCCTGCTCTCAGAAGGCAGCAGCCCAGGCCAGGATCATTCTGATGGCCCTCCCCTGAACATGAGCTTATTGTCAATGTGCTGCTTGTTCTGGAGGCCCAGAATCGGATGCAGTCCTTGATGGAATTTAGCAAGTGCTGAGGAGGGGAGTGATTATTTCCCTCAGCATCCTGGCTGTGCCCCAGAATGCTGGTGGCCGTCCTTGCTGCTGGGGCATGCTGCAGCTCACATCCTGCCCACCATGACCCCAAAGCCTTTCCTGCAGCCAGGCCATCCCAGCCTGTGGCCTCGCCAGCGGCAGGACTTGGCACTTGCCCTTTGCTGAGGTGTGTATGGGGGACACGGTGGTTGGCACCATCCTCAGAGCAGAGCTCAGGCACTTCTGACAGTGGCTTCTGTCTCCTGAACTGTGCTGAGGGCTGAGGAGCTCCTTGATCTGGGTGCCCCTCTCTTACAAACCCATCTGGTATGTGGTGTTCCCCATATGTGTATTTCCCTGTAGAATTCCAGTCATTCCTCATTGATCACCTATGGAACTGCCTTTGTGTTACCACGAGTGAGATGGATGAGATTTGATACTCACATTGGATTCACGTTAAAAATACTCTGTGGGGTTAAACCTGATTCGTGTTCCTGCATGATCCCGTGCAATCCGTCCCTCTAGGAGGCACATCAGTGCTGGGTTCTTCATCCCCACCCGAGAATCAGCGATCACAGCACTCAGCTTGTGCTTCACTCACTCTGCTCAGGGCTTATTTTTAGCGAGCGCTGGAGGGATGAGTCAGACACGTGAGGGAAATGGAAACATGAAGCTGCTGCGCTGCCTTTTCCCCTCCCTGTGCTTGTTCCAAGCTGCTTTTCCCCCTCCTGCCCCAAGGAAGGTTCTTGAGTCTATGGTCAGACCAAATGGTCACCTTGGTTTCACCTGCTTTGAGCTGGGACTGGTGACCCCAGGAGCACTGTAGCTGCAATGCAGATTCTGTCTGTCCTAAGAGGCACTGAAATATGGATGCTGGAGGGATCCAAGGGATTCTTTCTCAGTGGACCAGGGGCTTGGAGAGGTTATGGGATCTTCTTGGAGGTTTTCAAGCCCCAGCCAGGCAGAGCTCTAAAGCACCTGGTCTGAATTCAGTTTGTCTTGTTTTGAGCAGAAGCTGGGACTAGAGATGTCCCTTCCCACCTAAATGATGCCTTGATCACAGGCATTGGTAGAGAGGTGAGGAGCAGGTGGCAGTGATGCACCCAATGTCCCCAGCTTTCTCTTTGGTGTCTGCAAGGTGCTGCACACTCTGGTGTAGTTCAGTAGGTGAAGGAGCCTATGGCCAGACAGGCTGGTGTCACCCGGTGTAGGGACAGGGCACCCACCTTGGGCACAGGCTCTTCCTGGACACTGGATAGCCTGGAGATGGTCAGAAGACAGCGAGATTCCTGGCTGGGAGCTAATGCCCAGAGCTGTTTGTCACAGGGAGGAGCTGCAGCAGGGGGGCACTGGGCCAGAGGAAGGAGTAAGCATGTAACTCCTGGGGGATTCTGAATGAAACCCTGTTAAACTCTGTGCAAAACAGGGCTGTTGATTCCTGGCTTTTGGGGCTCACCAATTCCATGCTCTCTCTGGCTTTCCTTTGCCAGACAACACAACTTCTGGTATGAGCCATTTGTGTGGAACTTGAAGCTGCTCCAGCTTGAAGCTGGCCTTGTTCCTTCTTAGGAGCTAGAAGCTGATATAAATAAGATGCAGCGTGGGGCTCCCCAGAGAAAACCCCAATTCATTTTAACAATATTCAGTGTTTTGGGTTTGCTTTTTTTTTGTCTGGTTTGAAGGTTGGGCATCTCCATAAGGCCACGAGCAAGGGCAATGTCAAACCCTAACCAAGAGTGGGCAGAGCTTTGGGGGGAAGCAGAAGAATTCCTCCTGGTGGTAAAGTCTCCCCGGAGCTCACACAGGCTCTCACCCGGCTCCATCAGCTGAGGCCACGGCTCATGGCTGATCCTGAGCTACCTCAACCCTCAGCTACTCCCCCTGTATAGAGGAGCAGCAGCAGGAGGTCAGGCTGGAGGCTGGAATCGAAGGGTTACAGGAGGAATGTGCAAATCGTGCTGGGAGAGCAGAAGTGAAGCAGGTAGGGACAGGTTGAGGGACCGTGTCCAAGCTGATGTTGATTTTGGCCTCTCCTAGGTGGTGCAAATGCAATGTAACATGGAGCTGAATGAAGACAAGACCCAGTGGCATGTAAGCATTCATTTCTTATTCCACATGAGGCCCTGGGGCAAGACCTGCTGGTCTCTGCACACACCTGGCATCTGAGAGGGGAAGGTTTGCTCTCAGCCACTTGGCTGCAGCACCCACACCTTATGCCTGTCCCTTTATGATAAAAGCAGCCTGGAGAAGGCTGCAGCCACCAGCTCCCTCTGGCTGCAGGACGGGGAGACGGTGACATCTGTGCCTGGACACAACTCTGCTACTCTCTAGTTCTGCCGCCGCAGATGGGCTCTAACTGAGGAGAGAGCGTTCCTCTAAGACACGCACCCAACCTTTCCAAAGCCATGCCAGCGTGTTGGCAGTTCCAGCACCGCCTGCCCAGAGCCGCAGCAGCCTCAGCTGCTGAGGAGTCAGCCCCTTTCTCTGGTGTTAGTAAAGAGCTCTCTCTTCTTCCTGCAGCTCACTCTCCTGCTCATCCTGGAGGACAGGCTGCATCGGCAGCTGAGCTACGACCTGCTGCCCAGTACGTTTGCTTGCACGTGTGGATGCAGAAGCATTGCCTGGTGGCCGTGGTCAGGTTGTGGCAGACACAGTGTGTTTGCGGCCAGCTTGTCTTTCCCTGTGCTGGGAGAGCAGACTAAAGCCTCGTGTCTGCCCGGTACCAGTTCTTGTCCGTTCACACCCTGAGCTTACAGCCTCTGGATCATGTAATAACCTGCACTCTACGGTGAAGGACTGACTGGGAGCCCAAGAAGGGAGCCTGCACTTTACCCTGGGATGTGGGGTGTGATTACTGGGGCAGCTCTGGTGAATCCTTCCCTCATTCCTACCACTGGTGCTGGCCACACCACATCTCCCAAAGGGGAAAGTGAACTCTCCTCTGGGGAAAGGTGCTTCTCCTCAGAGTAGGTCCAGCACAGCAGGCTCCAGCCTGAAAGATGCAGGTGCCTTCTGGAAGCATGTGGCTGGAGTGGCTCCTTTGCCTTACAGCGAAACTAAAGCATAAAGCTTGGAAATGAATGCTTGGGAGTTGCTGCTTCACTAGCCCCTCGTGTTTCACTGCCTGCAGGTAGTGGCTTCTTCATACTGAACCAAAACAACCCAAAACCCCTCCAAAGTGACACATTGCCAAGGCTGGTGTGCTCTGTGCGAGCTGGGGCTGGATATCAATCCTGCCCACAGCCTCTTGTTCAGAAGAGTGCACTGCCCCAGGGTTACTTAGCAGTTACTCACCCACCCACAAGTGGACGGCGTGTGCCCTGAAGGTGTCTGTGGGTTGGGACTGGGGCACTTTACTGGTAGAGGAGGAACTAAGAGATGCACGTTCATGTTCTCACCATTCCTTGTCTCTGCAGCTGATAACTCCAAGGACTTGGCCACGGAGCTGGTGCATTACGGATTTATCCACGAGGTGAGCACCTGTGTCATTCCTCATCTGTGGGGTATGCACCGTGCTACTTCAGTCGCCAGACCAGGGGACGCGTCATGCCTGTGAGGAGGAACTGCTCCCCCATTGCTCCTCCAGGCATTCCCCATGGAGCATTCCTTGCAGTGAGCTGACACTCCCCCCCCCCGCCATGCTTCGCTCATGCCCAACCCCAGGTTGCTGTTCTGAGGGGCCATGGGGTGCAGGGCTATTTACACCAGCCTGGCAGTGATTGTGAAGGTGAGAACCAGAGGAGAGACAAGGAAGGGAAGCTGAGGCCACCTCCCATCTCCCGGGGGAATTATCCTGGTGTTCTTAGCTCAGTTTGGGCCTTTCTGTCTCCCTGAGGGAGTTCAGGGCAGTCCAGGCATTGGGACCATCCAGAGCATGGAGAGAATGTCATTTTTGTACAAGTTAGTGCCTCGCTAGGCCAAGTTCTGGAGAATTCCTCATGCTGGATGCTGCCATTGGACACGGAAGGGTCAGCTTCCCCGAGTGAGGTGTGTGAGCACACCTGCACTGACACACCACGGGGCTTTCTCTGTGGGGCTCCCTGGTACTGCAGAATGTATCTCACACAGGTCCACGTTCCACCCACCTTCCATCCATTACCTTCTGCTCGCTTTCTCCTAGGAGGTAACCCCCTTTAACACCCCTTCCCCTCTCTGACCTGCTCCACAGGCACCAAGTACCTTTTCCTTTGGATGGTTTTAACTGATTTATACCTTGTCAATTACCTTGGAATTGTGCTTCTTGTGCCTGGCCTGAAGCACTTGGCTCTGGTTTCCCTGCATCCATGGTTGCTGTAACAGCAGCCACCAGCAGCCTCTTAAATCTTGCTTTCAAAAGTCCAATCCTTTCCCTAAAGGAACAGTAGGGATTTAGCAGCAGTGATGCCAAAAGGTGCTTCTGAGCAGCAAGTAAACGACTGCTTCTGCATTTGTCACTTGAGTGAGGTTGTTGGGTTTGCTCCTGGTGATTCCAAGCCCCCCTGTGACACGAGGGGAGCATTGGGGGTTTCGCATCCTTTACACATCACTGTGTATCTGAGGAATTCCTTCTCAAGGAATGAACATTCTGATACATCAGAAGCCACCTGAGGAGGACAGGGAAGAGATTTCTAGGCAAAGTAGTTGCCAGCCCAACAACAAGTGACATGAGTTTGTGTGTCTGTTGGCAATGAGGATATTACAAACCAGATGATCATAGAAAATAACCTTAGATGCAGCATTCAGTTAAACTGAACTAAGCAAAAGAAGCTGGAGCTGTTCTGTTCCTTCTGAAGCTCCAGAGAACTCTGCTTCTCTGCCTTTCTCTTGCACCCCACAGAGAAAGGCTCCATTCTTGGTTGGCCATTTGGTATTATCTAGTAATTAGGATAATCACAGAATGGTTTGGGTCGGAAAGGACCTTAAGACCATTCAGTTCCAACCCCCTGCCATGGGCAGGGATGCTTCACACTAGACCGTGTGACCCAAGGCTCTGTCCAGCCTGGCCTTGAACACTGTCAGGGATGAAGCATTTACCACTTCTCTGGGCACCCTGTGCCAGCGCCTCAGCATCCTCACAGGAAAGAACTTCTTCCTTACCTCCAGCCTGAACTTCCCGTGTCAGTTTGAATCCATCACGCCTTGTCCTATCAGTACAGTCCCTGATGAAGAGTCCCTCTGTGGCATCCCTGTAGCCCCCCTCAGATACTGGAAGCTGCTCTGAGGTCTCCACACAGCTTCTCTTCTCCAGGCTAGTAATAATCTTAGCAGTATGTTCCAGATGTGCTTCCAAGCTGTTCTCTTCCCATAGCAAGACTCGGATTTGAAGCTGGCAGCTTGGGATGGAATCACTTCAGGAAGATGTCCAGGGTAGCCAGTACACATGGATCCGCTGACGTCCATGTCCTCTATTTCCTTTCCTTTAGGATGACTGTGAGAAGCTGGCAAACTTCCTGGAAAACGCCTTCCACAAGTACCGCTCTCCTCTGCTGTGAGGGGCCCTGGAGCAGGGCGGCGGGGCAGCGCGGGGCCCCCGGCCATCGGATGGACACGGGGGCTGCGGCAGTCCCCGGGGTGTGCGCCTGAGCTGCCTGTGATCACAGCCAGCGGAGGAGTCACCAGCACACACCAAGTCACCCGTGCATCAGGAGAGCTCGGGACCAAGCAGGAATCATGGCCTGGTCCCCACTCCTGAAGCAGCGAAGCCAAAGGGAGTTGTAAGGTGGGGGAGTCCCTTCCCATTGCAAAACTGCTGCTAGAATCTCCCAAAGTAATCCATTGTCCTCTGGGAATGATAAGCTTTTGTTACTGCAGGTCTCAAAGCTATCTTCTTCCTCTTTGCTGGCTGGGAGCACTTGGAGAAGGGAGGAGAGGGACAGGCTTGGAAAGCTCAGGCGCAGTTTCCCATCTGCTACATTCCATTCTTTATACCCAGCTTCTCCCAGTTTATTCAGGCTTTCCCAGCACTGTAATGCCTGGTCAGAAGAATTGCAGACCTTGGTGTAAGCCAGAGGACTTTGTGAGCTGGACTTGAGCTGGCATGCGAAGAAGGTCCAGAAATCCAAACCCATCAGTTGGATCAGCAGAAGCCTCACTGGTGCTGAACATAACCTTTGTCATTCCCCAGTTTGTCTTACGGCCTTCCAAAGTCTCATGGCACCTTAAGGGGAAAACCCCTGATGGCTCTTCCTTCCCTGTCTCTCCTGTGGTGGTTGGAACTTCAGTCATTAGCCTGGAGAAAGGGGCGACCACCTCAGGTGCTGCACACAGTGGGTTCAGTTGGTGATTTGTGTTGCAAAAGCCATGCAGTGCTGCTCCATTGCTTTATGCTGCTCACGCTGTGCCATGTGAAACCAGCTCTATCTTCTTGTGGGTGTTGTGCCTGTGCTGGTGCTGTGCCCGTGCCAGTGCTATGCCTGGGCTGGTGTTGTGTCTGTGCTGGTGTTGCGCCCATGCAGGTGTTGTGCTCGTGCTGGTGCTGTGCCTTTGCCAGTGTTGTGCAGATGCTGGTGCTGTGCCCACGTGGGTGTTGTGCCCGTGCAGGTGCTGTGCTGGTGCTGTGCCCATGCTGGTACTGTGCCTGTGCCAGTGCTGTGCCCATGCCGGTGCTGTGCCCATGCTGGTGTTGTGCCCCTGCAGGTGCTGTGCCCATGCTGGTGCTGTGCCTGTGCCGGGTCTGCCCTGCGCTACGCTGCCTGCACATTGTGGTGTGCACCAGCTCTGTGGGCTGGCTCTGCTGTGCCAGGACATGATGCTGAGCTGCTGACCCTTGCTGCGCTGTGCCACCATCACAAGCTGACAAATCAATAAAGCCTCAAAGCAGCTCATCAGAGCTCTCCAGCAGCCAATGGCTCTGTCATTCCTTGGTCACTCTCAGCAGTACGGTGGGAAGTGGTTCCCTGAGCTCAGCAGACTTGTCCCCACAGGCAGGCAGGTTGGGAGAGGACAGATTCAGTGGAGAGACATCATGGAGCTGTGTGATTCAGAAATCCTCCTCCAGAGCAAGTTTGTACTTGCCTCAGAAACGGAGATGTTCCTTCACATACCAACTGCTTCATCTCCCCGATGAGCCAGTTAGCTCTTCATTAGCACCATCATGGAAGCATGGAATGGTTTGGGTTGGAAAGGACCTTAAGATCATCCAGTTCCAACCCCCTGTCATGGGCAGGGATGCCTCATGCTAGACCTTGTGACCCAAGGCTCTGTCCAGCCTGGCCTTGAACACTGCCAGAGATGGGGCAGGCACAGCTTCTCTGGGCACCCTGTGCCAGAGCCTCAGCACCTTCACGGAGAAGAGCTTCTTCCCAATATCTCATACAATTCTTCCCTCTTCCAGTTGGAAGCTGTTACTCCTCATCCCATCCCTACAGGCTCCTGTCCAAAGCCCTTCTCCAGCTTTCCTGTAGGCCCCCTTTAGGCACTGGAAGGATTGCTGGAATCCCTTCAGCATCTGGTGACCCTTCACTGGACTCTCTCCAAGCCCACATCTGTCTTGTCTGGGGGAGCCCAGCACTGGGTCCAACACTCCAGATGTGCCTCCCTGGTGCCAAGCAGAGGAAGGCTCAGTCCCCTTGAGCCTCTGGCAGGGTTTCCCCGGTGCAGCCCCAATGGCACCAGCCTTTGCCACGCAGCACGGCGCTGGCTCGCATGTCGTTTGGTGTCCAGCAAACCTGGCACCAGGACAGGGGGAATCCTGCCCACACAGCTGCCAGGCAGACACCATTCCTGTCGGACAGGAAAGGAGCCGTGTCTTCAAACACATGGAGCTCAGGCTGAGCACTTCATGAGGATTGTAACTGCTGCCCAGAGAGGAGAGTTGTGCTGTGCACACCTCTGAGGGTCCAGTCTTAACTGGAAGATTCCACAATGCAGGAATCCCCTGTATCTCCAGAGCAAGGTTTCCCAGGGGGTGACTGCTGTCACTTAAATTTGGGCTTGAAATAAGGGATGATTTTGTGTTCCACTCCACATATTGTACCTTTATCTCCCAGATGAAGGGAACTTTTGGAGTGCAACTTCTCACCGTAAGGGTAACTTAATGCTAAGTCATGTTTTAACTGCCTTTGGTGAGCTTTATTGGCCTGACCTTTTGAATCCTTTATAGAGAAGCAGTCAGGCTCTGTAGATTTCTTTGGTCACAGCACTCTCCTGCCACTTTAACCAGTTAAGTGTAAGGCAAAAGGGCACGAATCTCCATCCCCTCAAGGGCTTTTTGCCTTTGAAGCAGGACTGACACCTTAAGATGGGATGTCTTCCGGGGGCTCCTTTCAAAGGTGCAATAGCACCCAGTGACAGACCACCCGTGGCCGGCTGTTCCACCAGCCCTTACACTGGGAAACACAGAACCACCCAGGCTGGAAAAGAGCCGCAGGATCACGCAGTCCAACCGTGCCCCAGCACTGCCAAGGCCACCACTAACCCATGGCACTGAGGGCCAAGGGGAGCCGGCGTCTGAGCACCAGCAGGGCCGGTGCCTGCAGCCCTGCCCCGGGCAGCCTGTTCCAATGCCCGAGCACCCTCTGGGGCGGGAACTGCTCTTCCCTGTGAGGGGCTGGCACAGGGTGCCCAGAGGAGCTGTGGCTGCCCCATCCCAGCCCCTGATCAAGGCCGGGTTGGACGCAGGGGGGCTCCGAGCCCTCTCCGGCCCCCCCGGGCTCCGCCACCACCGCCCACGCCCGCCCCGCGCCACCCGCCGACACCGCCCCGGCCCGCCCCTGCCCACGTGACCCTCGTCTCTCTCGCGAGATGTCCCCCTGCTCCCCTCCCACGAGATTTTCCGTTCCGCGCGCGCCTTAGGGGGCTCTCGCGAGAGTCTCGCGCCGAGCGCCGGCGGGGCGGATAAGATGGCGGCGACGAGCACCATGTCTCTGGTGAGCGGCGGCGGGGCCGGGCTGAGCCGGAGGTGGGGTGGGGGGAGCGGCGAGCCGCGGCCCCAAGGCCGCGCGTGTGAGCGGCCCCGGCGCAGACTCCGCTCCGCTCCGCTGGGCCTTTGTGAGTGCCGCGGCCTCCTCCCTGACTTCCCGCCCACCTCAGCGGGACTTCCCCCTGCGGGAAGCGGCCCATTCCCCCTGCTGGGCCGGGCCTTCCCAGGCCAGGCGGGGCTCTCCCGGTGCTTGGCTCCTGGGGCTGTGCCCGGTGCGGGCCCGGCTGTGCGGGGCTCCATGGGCTGTGCCCGGTGCGGGCCCGGCTGTGCGGGGCTCCTGGGGCTGTGCCCGGTGCGGGCCCGGCTGTGCGGGGCGCTGAGCTGCTCTGTGCAGCGCTGCTGAGAGGGAATGTCTCTTCCCGGCCCGGGAAGCGCTCCCGCCGCTTCCGTTGGGCTGGGTTGCGGGTTTCCCGAATTCACTGTTCCCGAATCTCCCGCTCGGCGCCGGGGCCCGGTCCCGGGTGTTCCCGGGAGAAGCCGCTCGTGGCCCTTCCTGGTAAAACCCTTTCGGTGCTAGTGGCTGATTTTTGCATCTCCTCTCCCTGCTCTTGTGCACCGGGAAGGATCGCAACGGGATCGGGTTTTTTGGAGTTGTTTGTGTTTTCAGGAGTGCTCATTCCTTACTGGATGCTGACGTGTGGGAGCAGCGGGACGCTCCTGTTGAAGGCTGTTTGTTTTCTTTGTGATTAGTCTTCAGTAGCAGAAATGAATTCTTGCGCTGCTCAGCCTTCCCTGGAGTCCGTGATTTACTGTTGTTATCTATGGAAGTGTGTAAAGGGGAGATGTGAAACCTCCTGGGTGTCAGGGCTGCAGGGAAGGAAGCCTCTGATGGATTTAATCATAGAATCATGAAGGGATTTGGGTGGGAGGGACATTAAAGCTGCTCCAGTTCCAGCCCCTTCCATTAGAGCAGCTTGCTGCAAGCCCCTGTATCCAGCCTGGCCTTGAACACTGCCAGGGATGGGGCAGCCACCGGTACTCTGGGCACCCTGTGCCAGAGTCTCACCAGGTGGCAAATACCGGGAGTGAAGAAACCTCAAAGGATTAGTGTTGGATCATGTTGGAACATGAGCCTTGAGGTGCAGGATGTGCTGCCTTTAGTTTGGTGTTCCCAGCCTGGGTGGTATCTGTGTTTCAATGGCAAAGTGTAAGCGACCCTTCCAGGAAGCAGCATTCCAGCTTGACTGAGTGCTCCATGCTTTTAGCCACTATGGGCTTGTGTAGCATTTGTTCTGGAAGGTCCATCCTACACCTGAGTCTTGTTACACCTCTTCAGGGAAGTCGTCAGTCCTGCCAGTGTCACACAGGGTTAAAACACCTTCTCCAGTAGGATCTGTCATGAGCTGGGTGCCCTCTGTGTGGGTTGAGCTCCCATCTGCTGTTGCTGAGCTGAGCCTGTCTGTCCCATAGCACTGTGTTGGGATGTGTTTTACTTCACTGAGCTTCAGCAGCTGCCCCATAGCCTTGGTGTGGTCCTTGCAATGAGACCCAGCTCCGTGTCCCCACAAGCTCCCTGGATCACTTCTTCTCAAGATGCCCCTGTCTGTTTAAACCTCCTTTCCCTGCTGGAAAGGACATTGGCTGTTCCTGCTGTGACCATGGCATCAGCCTGAAGAGAGTCCAGTGTGGTCTGACCAGGGCAGCTGCAGCCTTCACTTTGTCCTGTGAGCATGGAAGTGGGGAATGCTGCCTGGAAAAGCTTCAGAGTTAAGGACAAGGTAACCCTGAGTAGCAGAAACTGAGCTCTGGGTTTAGGAGGCTCAGGCTTTGCTTTCAGCTGACTTCCTGAAAGGAGGTTTGCAGCACAGGCTCTGCTCCTGTTGTGGAGACACACAAATAGGGAAGGAATTGAAGCAGAAAGCAGAGGGGTTTCTCAAGGGCAGTGATCTAAGGACATGGAGTTGGGTCTTGGGAGTTATTACTCAAAGTCCCCAGAGCTTTGATGCTTTTCAGGTGTCCCCATAAACTGTCAAGAACCCACCATATGCTGAGCCCAGCAGCACATCTGCTGAGGGCATGTGAGAGCCATGCAGCTGCACTGGAATCAGGGTGGGATTTGTCACTTCTGTATTGAGCCAGTTCTTTCTCCAGTGCTCCTGCTGCTGGGAAAAGCATCCTTGCTGCTAGCTTGGAATTGAGATGGGATTAGACTTGCTACTGAAGCAGTTTCACAGCTCTAATGCGACCTGGTGTTGAGTGCTGCTGATAACAGTAACAGGTCTCTGCTGCTGTGGTTTGTTACCCAGAACACTAGTGGTGTGACTTGGGCAGTGGTTGTGCCCCTGTACTGGGCACTGGTGAGGCTGCACCTTGAATCCTGTGTTCAGCTCTGGGTCCCTCACTGCAAGAGAAACATTGAGATGCTGGAGCGGGGCCTGGAGCACAGGGGTGATGGGGAGCGGCTGAGGGACCTGGGGGGGGTCAGTCTGGAGAAGAGAAGGCTCGGGGGGACCTGATGGCTCCCTACAAGTGCCTGCCAGGAGGATGGAGCCAGGAGGGGCTGGGCTCTGCTCCCAAGGAACAAGGGATGGGACGAGAGGAGCCAGCCTCCAGCTGCACCAGGGCAGGTTTAGATGGAGCTGAGGAACAATTCCTGCCCCAGAGGGTGCTCAGGCATTGGAACAGGCTGCCCGGGGCAGGGCTGGAGTCACCATCCCTGCAGGTGTTCACACACCATTTAGATGAGGCCCTCAGTGCTATGGGTTATTGGTAGCCTTGGCAGTGCTGGTAAACGGTTGGACTGGATGATCCTGGCCTTGGGTGGTTCCAGAGCCAGGTGAAATGGGACTTGGAGCAGTCTGGGGTAGTGGAAGGTGTCCCTGCCCGTGGCGGGGGGGTGGAGCTGGTTTTAGTTTTAAGGTCCTTTTCAATCCAAAACCATTCCATGTTCCTGTCCTGAATTACTTCATCCAAAGGCAAGTTGATACCTTGGAACAACCTGCCAATACTTGATGTGCCAGGAATAACTAACCATAAGTTCTACAGGACAGACCTCAGTTGATGGGATAGCTCTCCCATAGGGAGTGCTGGAATACCAACAGCTTTTCATGGATTTGGGAGGACATTTAGCCATTTGTGCCAGTCCGACATGAAGTGCTCTGGAGTCTGGGAAGGAAGGAATGGTCACCCCTGCGGGAACAGGTTTTCTGTGAGTGTTTCCTGTTTCCTCAGGGCACAGAGTCCATTAAGATGGAGAATGGCCAGAGCACAGCATCGAAGTTGGGACTTCCGCCCCTCACACCAGAGCAGCAGGAAGCTCTGCAGAAGGTGAGTAACCGTCATGTGGGCTTGGTTCTTGGTTGGGGGGTTTGGTTTAGTTTGGTGGGTTTTATGAGCAGCTTCTCCTGATGCTACAAAAGGGAGCCTACCTCCCAAGAACGGGCCTGGGGTCTGGCCATGCTGCGTGTGGATTCACACTTCCAGTTGCCCAAGAATGACTTGGTTTGGCTTAGAGCTTGGAGATGCTTTTGGGGAGCATGATGTGGAGTTTGCTGTTGGGGTGGGGAGAGTGTTTTTAATTAAAATCCTAAGTAAATGACATCTTCAGCTGACATTGTAATGCTGAAACAACATGCAACGGCAGCGTGTGCTCCACAGGGAACAAGTTTCTGCTGTGTTCCAGCTGCTCTTTGAGTCCATCCACACAAGAGCACATCACAAAAATGTCTATTTTCTTTTATGCTCCTTCCCATGTTCATAGAACCATGGAATGGTTTGGGTGGGAAGAGACATTAAAGCTCATCCAGTTCCAGCCCCCTCCCACGGCCAGGGACCCCTTCCACTAGGGCAGGGTGCTCCAAGCCCCTGTGTCCAGCCCGGCCTTGAGCACTGCCAGGGATGGGGCAGCCACAGCTTCTCCGGGCACCCTGTGCTAGCGCCTCAGCACCCTCATAGGGAAGAACTTCTGCCTAAGAGCTCATCTCAGTCTCCCCTCTGGCAGGTTAAAGCCATTCCCCTTGGCCTGTCCCTACAGGCCCTTGTTCCAAGCCCCTCTCCAGGTTTCCTGCAGCCCCTTTAGGCACTGGAGCTGTTCTCAGGTCTCCCCTTAAGGAGCCTTCTCCAGGCTGAACCAGCCCAGCTCTCTCAGCCTAGCTCCAGAGCAGAGCTGCCACAGCCCTTGCTGTATTTTCTTGCAGTGGCCTCCTCTGCATTCATTCCAACAGCCCCACATCCTACCTGTGCTGTGGCCCAAGAGCTGGATCAGGACTGCGGGGCTGGGGGGGGTGTCTCCCCAGAGCGCAGTGAGGGGGACAGTCCCCTCCCTGACCTGCTGCGCACACTGACGTTGTGAGGAGCCCCATTGCAAGTGTTTTCCACCCATGCGAGCCAGTCTGGTCGAATCCAGATGACATTTGAGCCCAGCTCTTGATCTGGGGTGGTTGGCCCTGTCTCACACGGCGGGTGGGAGGTTTAGCGGCCCTGCCACTGAGGGCGTGATTCTCAACTCGCTGAGAGAGGCGGAGCTGGGACTGGAGGGGCAGAACCAGCGCTGGCTGTGCTGCGGTGCTCTCCAGGCAGGAGCTGGGTGTGTGTGTGGCTCCCGGCGCGGAGCGGCCTCTCCTGGCTCACAGCTGTAAATGCCATTGTCCGTTTCTAGGTTTCCGAAGCACACGTCTCCCATCCATCGTTTAGAGCCTCCCAAACCCCTGCAGCCATGGAAAGCAGGTGCCCGAGGGGTGGCTGAGTGCTGGGACCTCCCCTGGGAATAGGGTTTCAGGGGCTTCTTGACAGGGAGCCTCCTTGTCAGCACCCTTGGGGTGCAGCTTGGGCCCTGTCAAATGTGTAGGGCACTGAAAGGATCAGAGCAGTGAACCTGTGTCTGAGCCAGGAGATAAAGAGCAGGAGCCTTGTGTGAGCAGGGTGGGTGCCCCAGCCTCAGGCAGGCCAGGGAGGGGAGAGCCCAGGCCAGAGACTGGACCTGGTGTTTGAGGGCCCTTCCCTTCTGTAGAAACTCTTTGTCCAGATGTTCTCTGAGTGGAGAGGACTTGAAGGAGGCTCTGTCCTGCCCTCATCCCAGCAGGTAAGGTGCTGTGGTGGGATCTAAGGGGCAGAGGGAGGAAGAGGGGAGATGCCACATGTCTGGTGCATGCTGCTTCCTTGATGTGGTGCCTGCTGCAGGTCGAGTCCATCTGCTCAATCCCTGTGCTGTATTCCAGGGTGTATTCCAGAACTCCTAGGTGCAGAGCAGGATGTTGGTGAGCTGCTGGCTTATGTATGGTGCTGTGATGCGTAGGGCTGGAGCGCTGGAATGTTCTCTGCAGCCAGTGTGTGGATCTGGGCAGTTCTGTTGTGGAGTTAATGCTGTTCCCTGCTCTAGGGTGTTGTCCTGTGACTACAGAGTCTGTTTCTTCCCAGGCAAAGAAGTATGCGATGGAGCAGAGCATCAAGAGTGTGCTGGTGAAGCAAACCATCGCCCACCAGCAGCAGCAGCTCACCAACCTTCAGGTGAGAGACCCTCTGAGATGCTCCTTTTGTGTTGTTTCTCCCCCTCAGGGTGGAGTTTTCTGCACTCAGAAGCAGAGCACAGCCCTGAGGCCGGGTGCACTCGGCTGTTTCCACAGTGAAATAGCAATGCTCTGAATCCAGCTCACTAAAAATACCCCAACCCTTTGCCCACCTGCCCAAATTGCCCCAAAGCTCATCCAAAGAGTGAGTTTTTAAGCGTTTCTCTCCTGTTGGCTGCCCAAGTGCTTCTTGAAATGCCAGAAGCCAAATAACTTGCTGTGGGTTTCACTTTGAACTGGTGTTTAAGGTGTTGTCTGGGGTTATTGGGAGCAGAATCCTCTTACCATCAAATCTGCTTGAGGGGAGGGTCACTCTCTCCCCTCTCTGAGCCCCCATTTCCCTTTCCCTCACAATGTGGGAGACGTTCCTTGGCTGTTCCTGCTACTGCTGGAATGAATGCCAGTATGCTGGTCTGTACAGCTCCCTCCCTTCAGACGTGTCGCAGGTGCATCTCACTCCATGTGAGGAAGCCCGGAGCAGTGGCTGAGGTCTGCTGGATGGGTTCAGTGGAGGAGCACTGCTCACCCATAGGCAGTGTGGCCTCTCAGGGCTGTGCGTGTTTCTGAGTGTCTGACCCTAGGGCTCCTTTTTAAATGCTGGGGGTGAATCAACGACAGTGGTTGCAGAGGTTACTATTGCCTTGAGTCCCCCCTGGGAGAAGACCCTGCTTCCTGAGGCAGTGGCAGCAGCACAACTCACCCTGGCCTGGTGGGACTGGACTCTGCGGGGTCCCAGCGCTGGACAGTCCTTGGGCCCAGGCAGTGAGGGGCAAGGAAGGAGAGGCCTCTCCGCAGGTTCCCCGTGCCGCCGCTCTGCTTGAGATGTGACAAACAGCCATAGTATGCTCAGCTCCAACAGACTGAACTCTGTCTTTACTGTCTTTCAGATGGCAGCAGTGACAATGGGCTTTGGAGATCCTCTCTCACCTTTACAATCGGTCAATAGACATATTCACTTCTTCTTGGGCACTTTGTCTTAGTCAGGGCCTAGAGTGGGGAAGGACGTAGTGGTAACGCAATGCTCTTAACTGAACCCAGCACAACCCTCCACATACGCGTTGTGGACAAGCACAGCAAGCAAAGGCAAAGTGTAAACTCCCCAGAGGAAGACCCTAGGCCGGGTGCAGTCTGCTGTGACACTGGCACTGGGACATGGGCCACTGGCAGTCGGGGTCCTGGAGTCAGGTGGCAAAGCGAGCGTTAGATTTCGGCCAGTTCCGAACCCAGCCTGTGAAAGTGTGGGAGCTGCGTTTCTAGAGACGCTGCAGTTCTGAGGTGCTGACCCCAAACTGGCTGCCAAGGTAACTCACACATGGGTGATCTCCTGAGAACCACACTGAGAGCACTGGAGCCCTGCAGCCGCGGTGCTGGGAGCTCTGGGGCACAGCAGGTCTCAGCAGGGCTGCTCTGCACTCTGCAGTCCCCACACTGGGTGAATACGGCTCGGAGTAAAGGCAGGAGGGAAGGAACCACACTTCAGGGTGTACACAGAACCCACACGTCCCTTCAGTGCAAAGAGCTTAATTCTCTGGGATTATCCATCCCCTTCTTTTCCCTGGACATGTTGGACAATGGCTACTGTGTGTCCTCTAAGCTCCACTCCACATGCAAAGGTTCAGTTGTCACCATTTCTGCTGGAACACAATATTTCTGCTTGGTGTCAAAGGCAACTGGAGGCTTGTACCCCAAAATGAAAGAGGCAACTAAAATCACCACCTTTCGCTCCTTTAACAGCAGGGTGTGTCAGCAGGGGAGCCAAAGGAGGTTGTATGATGGAATGTAAAGCTGGAATGGGTTGGGAGCACACATCTCCTTGTGAATTGGGCACCCAAGAACCTCCTCTCAGTTCATGTGGATGTTCCTCAAGAGCAGAACCTCAGCACATGTGCTTTATAAAATGGTTTTGGCTCCTTTTTCACAGCTGGGCAGTGAAAAGCCTGTGCGGGAAATGGTGCATTTCCTGTTAGCATCAAGGGCAGAATCTGGTGCTTCCTTTTCCTCAGCCATTCCTGTAGGGATGCTGCTGAACAGGACCCAGAGGCAGGAATCTGTGCTGAAGCCTTCAGCTCTGGTGCTGTTCAGTGCTTGTTAAGATGCCCCAGTCCCAGCAAGTACTTTATCCCAGAGCCCATCAGGAATGCCGAACAAAGAGCCTTGTTTGCCCAGTGCTTGCTGACAAGACTGATCAGTTCCTCCATGAGGATCGTTGTGCCTGGGATGGAAGCTTCCTGGCTCCTTACCCCTCTGAGCATTGCAGAACAGCATCTCCCTGTCACAGCAAGATGAGCACCGTTTCCTGGTGCTGCTGGATTAGAACAAGCCAGTGGTGGTGATTTTGTATAAAGGATCAAGATGATGCTTTGGCTTGTCTTTAAACCTTCATAAGCACTTGACAGCAACATGACAACTATTAACTGCTGCCTTTATGAAACATAGAATCGACCAGGTTGGAAAAGAGCCTTAAGATGATCAAGTCCAACCGTTCCCCAGCACTAACCCGCGCGTCCATGAGGGCAAGTGGAGGCTGCAGGTACTTCAAACTCCATTTTAGAGGAGGAGGAGGGCCAGTTACCAGTAAAATCTACTTGGTGCAGCCAGTGAGGTTTCTAGAGATGAGTGTCTGACACTGTCATGTGCTTAGTTCACAGGTCCACTGCATCACCATGACTTGATGCTTCCAGTTCCTGTTAGTGATCCACATGTAGCCACAATGGTCCACCCCAGTCATGTCCGTTTCAGGTCCAGATCCCAACGTTGCTGATGTAAAGGTCCTAAAGCCATCCCTCCTATTGCCCCTCTGCAGCAGGGTAAGATGTGGATTTCCTCCTGCAGAGGAGAGGACAGATGCCACTGCATTTCCTCCTGTAGCATGGATAAGGGGAGGAGAACATGATCTCTTCATGTCTCTGTATTTCAGAGGGTGAAGAGTCCCTGTGCAAGGCTGCACGAGCAGGGGCTTGACCAGAAGTGCTCCTTAGTGAGACACTAGAGGTTTCTCAGTCTGGGTGAGGTGGTTGGTGGTGGCTCTGACCCCCTCTATGGACATACTGCATACTGAGGGGCTGCTGATCACTGGCTTTCCTGCATCCAAGCTGGGAATCTTAACCTGGGAGACCCCACCTCAGCTGTCCTGCACATGCTGTAGTACTCCCTGTCACAGCACATTAACTTGAACAAGAGCTTGTTGTTAACAGTGGGAAATGTAAAACCAGGCAAGAGGACCCTAAGGTCCAGGACCACCCCTGAGCTTAATGTCACATGAGGAGCAGCAGCATGGGGTGAGAATGCTCTTTATAGTATCCTCCTGAATTCCAGAACAGGAGTTGAACCTCTCCAGCCTGTCCTCCTGTGGCAGATGCAATCCCATACTGGGTGCTGTGAGGGAGAAGGCTTCTCCAGGCACAGGCTGTGACCCCTTGTCCCTCTGTCCTGCTGGTTGAGGCGCAGCAGCCCTGGACACATGGTGCTTACACTGGTTCTGGCATTCCTCAGACAGCATCCCACAGGGATCCGTCCTGAGCAGGGTGGTCAGAGGAGGTGGTGGTGCAGAGCTCCCAGTACTGTGCTGTGGTGAGGGGCCTCCAACCTAATGCTGCCTTTGCCTCCCCTGCAGCAGCCCTTGGCTTGCCGCTAGCTCCACCAGTGCCGCCAGAGCAGGAGCCCTCTGCTTGTCTCCAGCCACTGCAGTTCAGTCTTAGGGAGCTGCCTCCACACAGCCTGATTCCCGCTTGGTGCCAGGACGCTGCTGGGCCTGGCCTAGCCCCTTGCCAGAGTTAGCAGCTCTAGAGCCACACTGGGGGTCCCAAGGAATTGAGGGATTTGCTGCTTGTTGTGTATTTCCTGCTGGAAGGAATGGCGGGATTTGTCTTGCAAACAGGTTTTCAGCCATATTTAGGAGAAAATAGCCCAGAGACCCTTTCTCTGCACCCGAGGGCGGAGGCTTTGGGGCTGTACCACTCTGGGCCAGTGGCAGCAGCAGCAGTACTGACACCACACACTGAGCTGGGAGGTCCCATTAACCCTTTGGTTTCTCTTTGCTTCAAGCAGTGAATGTGGTGCCTAGTCCTGGAGCTCATCCTGCCGGGGGAGGGGGGTGAGGTGCTCGAGGGGGTGGGGAGGAGGTTCCCAAATCCAGCTCCTTTGCTGCCTGGGTGGGTGGATGGTGGGGGGTGGAAATCTGTGGTGGTGCCCAGTGTTGGATCTCTGTTGTCCCGCGTGGGAGGGAAGGGGAGGGCTGGTGAATAGTGGCTAGGATGGAGTCCTTTGCTGCCTGGAGGGGGAATTGTCCCAGAATGAAGTTATTTCCGCCTCCTGCAAGCGTTGCTGGAGCTGTGATGAGGCTGGGGAGGGTCAGACCTCCCGGTGGGGTTGGAGCTGAGGCTCGGAGGTGGCAGAGCCCATCGCACTGCCCCGGGAGGAGGCCGTTCCTCGGCCACTCCCGCCATGTGTGCTCCGAGCAGGAGAAGCCTTCCCCATTGGCACGGGTGCTGCAGCCTGACGACGAGCTGCCTGCTGCTGGGCCATAGCTCCAGGGAGGGAAGGAGGAAGGGAAGGAGGTGTTGAGGTCCAGGGCCACGGCTGAGCTAACCAACCAGTTCTTCTTTCCAATACAGATGGCAGCTCAGAGGCAGCGTGCTCTGGCCATCATGTGTCGTGTGTACGTGGGCTCCATATACTACGAGCTGGGAGAGGACACCATTCGCCAGGCCTTTGCCCCCTTTGGACCCATAAAAAGCATTGATATGTCTTGGGACTCGGTGACCATGAAGCACAAGGTGGGATCACAGCCCTCGAGTGATGCTTTGTCTTCTCTCCAAGGCCTTCCTGAATGTATCTGGGAGAGGACAGAGTCTTTACCCTTGTAGAGTTAAGCACTGAGCTAAAGATTGTTGCTGCTTGTTCTGCTGAGCTTGGCAGGGCCAGATGTGCCTGGGGGTGGTGCGCATGGAGCACCATACAGCTTGTGTTCAGTGGTCTGTTGCTCTTGGGCCTCTGAGCATGTGAGGCTCTGGAGGAGGCCTGTAGCCTCCTCTCTACTTCCATGTTCAGTTTTCTTCTTTAATAAAAAGCTTCTTTAACAAACACCTTCTCAGGCCACAGCAGGGGTCTGGAACATGGGAAGTCTTGGCCACAAGGCAGAGCTGGTGGGATTTAACAAGTGTCTCCTTCTGTCCTAGGGTTTTGCTTTTGTGGAATACGAGGTTCCTGAAGCTGCTCAGCTGGCCTTGGAGCAGATGAATTCTGTCATGCTGGGGGGAAGAAACATCAAGGTGAGCAGCAGGAATGCTCTGAAAGCTCTTGGTTCTCTCTCCTGTGGGTAATGCGTTCCTGCCTTGGAATGCACCCCACATGCGGAAAATAACCTGAGGTCTGTTCTGTGCTAAACCTTGATATTCCACCTGTTGGGTACATGGTGGCTCTGGGTCTGTGCTCCTGCACACTGCTAAAGCCCAGCAGCCAGTTCTGTTCAGCTGGCTCAGGCTTTCCATCTCAAAGAATGGAAGCCTCTTGAGCTCAAACCAAAGGTGGTTCTTCATATTTTAGTGCTGCCTTGTCTTGGACCGGTGGATGGTGGATGAGCAGCATCAAACTTGGGTTGTGCCTGTGGATGGTGTGAGGGAGAAGCAGCAGGGAAATGGGGAGCATTCAGCAAGAGCAGTGAGGGATTGTAGCTGTGTGTTCTTAGGCAGCAAGATGGGATCTTGCAAAGGGGAAACTTTGGGGGTTGAAATTGGGGGAAACTGGCACTTTCTGTTTAGTGTTTCATATCCTGCATTGATCCCTGATGCACTCTCCAGTGTTTGATGGCTGAGGGGATTTAGAATCAGAGATCCATGGAATGGTTTGGGTTAGAAGGAGCCCTAAAGCTCATCCAGTTCCAACCCATGCCATGGGCAGGGACACCTTCCGCTAGAGCAGTTTGCTCCAAGCCCCTGTGTCCAGCCTGGCCTTGAACACTTCCAGGAGTGGGGCAGCCACAGCTTTTCTGGGCACCCTGTGCCAGTGCCTCAGCACCCGGATGGAAAGGACTTTCTTATATCTAATCTGAACTTCCCCTGTTTCAGTTTAAACCCATCACCCCTTGTCCTGTAACTACAGTCACTGATGAAGAGTCCCTCTCCAGCATCCTTGTAGGCACGATTCAGACACTGGAAGCTGCTCTCAGGTCTTCACGCAGTTTCTCTTTCCTTTGGCATATCAGGGAACACAAATGGGGTGGAGGAGGAAGCAGGGTCCAGGCTCTCAGTGCTGTGGAATCTCCTGTGGTGCAAGATGTAGGCCAGAGCTGAGTCAGCTTTGCTGATCGTGGCCTTATGAGTGGGGTTGGGTTCGGATGAGTGTTCAGGACACTGCTCTGCAGGATGGCCCATGAGCTCTTGGCTGGGTGAGGATGGAGCCAGGAGGTGCCTGGTCTCTGCTCCCAAGGAACAAGGGATGGGACCAGAGGAACCGGCCTCAAGCTGCACCAGGGCAGGATTAGATGGAGCTGAGGAACAATTCCTTCCCCAGAGGGTGCTCAGGCATTGGAACAGGCTGCCCAGGGCAGGGCTGCAGGCACCATCCCTGCAAGTGTTCAAACATCGTGGAGACGAGGCCTCAGTGCCATGAGTTAGTGGTGGCCTTGGCAGTACTGGGGAGTGGTTGGTCTTTTCCGACCCAGACTCTGTGGGTTCATGATTCCATGGCTCCCTGATTCTATGGCTCCCTGCAGGTTGGGAGGCCCAGTAACATCGGGCAGGCTCAGCCCATCATAGACCAGCTGGCGGAGGAGGCTCGAGCCTTCAACCGCATCTACGTGGCGTCGGTACACCAGGACCTGTCTGATGATGACATCAAGAGCGTGTTCGAGGCCTTCGGGAAGATCAAATCCTGCACATTGGCGCGAGACCCCACCACTGGGAAGCACAAAGGCTACGGATTCATTGGTACTGGGCTCGAGGGAGGCCAGTCCCTTTCCTCTCCTTGCATGTCCCCTGCCTCTCCCTGCATGTCCCCTGCCTTTCCCTGCATGTCCCCTGCCTTGTCCCTCTTTTTCCTCTCTAACTAGTGGCAGGGTGGCATTAGGCAATGGGCTGCAAGTCAGTTTGGACAGTGTGCCTGAACAGAGGTACAATTACAGCTGGGACTTCTGCTCTCAGCAGTGCAGGTTGGAGTGTCCCTGTGCAGGTTGGGGTGTCTGTGCTGTTCTCACAGTGCAGGTTGGAGTGTCCCTGTGCAGGTTGGGGTGTCTGCTGTTCTCACAGTGCAGGTTGGGGTGTCCCAGTGCAGGTTGAGGTGAGCTGTGAGGCAGTAGCTGCAGGTTGGGGTGTTCCGGTGCAGGTTGGGGTGTCCTGGTGCAGGTTGGGGTGTCTCTCTGCAGGTTGAGGTGTCTCTGTGCAGGATGGGGTGTCTGCAGGTTGGGGTATCTCTGCAGGATGGGGTGTCTCTGTGCAGGGTTGGGGTATCTGCAGGATGGGGTGTCTGCAGGGTTGACATGTCTCTGTGCAAGGTTGGGGTATCTCTGCAGGATGGGGTGTCTCTGCAGGGTTGACATGTCTCTGTGCAAGGTTGGGGTTATCTCTGCAGGATGGGGTGTCTCTGTGCAGGGTTGAGGTGTCTCTGTGCAAGGTTGGGGTGGCTCTGTCCAGGGTTGGGGTGTCTCTGCAGGATGGGGTGTCCCAGTGCAGGTTGGGGTGAGCTGTGAGGTGGCAGCTGCCAGTTGGGTGCCGCAGCCTCACGTGGAGCCCCCGTATTCCTGCAGAGTACGAGAAGGCTCAGTCCTCTCAGGATGCCGTGTCCTCTATGAACCTCTTCGACCTGGGCGGGCAGTATCTGCGCGTGGGCAAGGCCGTGACGCCCCCGATGCCTCTGCTGACCCCTGCCACACCGGGAGGGCTCCCCCCGGCCGCCGCCGTAGCCGCTGCTGCCGCCACAGCCAAGATCACAGCCCAGGTAGGCCCTGCCGCGGCTGCCCCTGCACGGGAGCACAGGGTGACACTGCTGGAGACAAGTGGGTGCTGCAGTGCTCCGGGCACTGCCGGAGGAACAGCCCTTGTCCTGGGTAATACCCTGTTCCCAGCACTTCCCATGTAGGTGCTTAGCCATGAAGCGTGTGAGGATCTGCTATTCCAGCACTGCGGAATGGGGTCTGGCACAGCTGGCCAGGACTTTGTCAAAGGGAATGGAAGATGGGAAGGGGTTCCTTGTCTGGAAAGGCAGACCTGTGGTTGGGGAGCTGGTTGTGGTAGAGGCTAAAGGAACATGGGAAGGTACATGAAAGGGGGCAGGCAGTGAGGACTGTAACAGTCCCAGGAGCTGTTGAAAAGACTGCCCATGGAGTAAAGTGGAAGGTGACTGATGGCTTTAGGCTCTTCGGAAGCAAGGTGTTGGAACTAGATGAGCTTTAAGGTCCCTTCCAACCCAAACCCCTCTATGATTCCAGGTAGTGATGGAGCAGAACTGGATGTTGATGTAGGAGTTGTGGGGTTCTCAGTTCGCTTGTGGTAGCAGAAGCTTCTGGCTGTGACAGGAGGTGCTTGGAGGAGGGTTTTCTTTCAGGGCAAACCCCAAATCTGTGTCCATCATCCTTACCTTCAGCAGCAGGATCTCCCCTGTACCACCACAGCCCGTGGCAGAGACAAGCTCCACCACTGCTGGGTTCTTGGGTTCCCAGGCAGAATGATTGAAGTGAGCAGCCTGTGTGTGCTGCTGCAGCTGGTGCCTTTGTGCTTGTGAGCAGCTCCTTCTGAGTGAACATGGCTCTGAATGACGAGGTAAAGGCAGAGGTGGGAGGAGCTGCCTCCAGTGTGGAGCTTTCCCGTGGTTCCTGTGTCCCCAGGTCTGGAATCTCTGCAGTCAGCTGAGGAAGGGAGTTGTGGCATCACTGGAAGGACTGTTGGCATCCAAATCAAAACTGTTGAATCCTTTCTGGAGTGAGGCAGTGGAGATCTGTCACTGCCAGGATAAATGTTCCTGTTTCTTTCCCAAAATGCTGCAGGATTTGTTACTTACTGTGAGGGAACTTAGGAATTCCATACATAGAAAACAGGCTCTGGAAGACCTCAGACACACTTAGCAGTCCTGATGCCATGGTACTGATGTGGGTAACCTGCCTGGTTTGCCACATGAGATGTGGCTGAGTAGTGAAGGAGTAAGGATAGTTCCAGAAGGCATGATCTGTGCTCCTGCACAGTTGTGATAGGGGATGAGAGCACACACAGTGCTGGTCTGCAGGGTTTAAACCCAAAGCAACCAGCAACCTCAGAGCAGCTGAGGGAATCATGGGCATGGGAGAGAAGCTGAAGACAGAGATAGAACTTTGGGTCTGGGGTCAGAACTGCAACTTCAGCCTGGTATTCTGTGCCAGCCAGCGAAGGTGGAGTGTGTCCAGGGTTACGGGAAACTGGAGGGAGGTGTTGAGCAGCAGAGGCAGCTCATGTCTTGGCAGTGATGGTGGAGTCCTCTTGCAGAAGAAATAAAGAAATACAGCTATTGGAAAGAGTTTAAGTATAAAGAGGGGGCAGCTCATGGGCACTGGGATGGTCTTGCTGCAGCACCCAGTACTTGGGGTGTTTCTCCTCCAGTAGGAGCACGAGGCAGGTCCAAAGCTGCCACAGGCAACTTAGAGATGTGCAGGCAGATGAGGAGAGGTGGGCAAGAGGTGCTGGGGGAGGTTCCCACAGGTCCATGCACTCTGGTCACAATAGCAGTTGCTGTTGTAGGCACTGGGAGGACATGTGGAGCTGGCTGCAGCACAGACATGGATGTTCTGGTCATGGAGTATCACAGCAGGATGGAGTAAGATCCACGCAGCAGTTACTGTAGAGTAAAGGTGCTGCACTGAAGGGACAAAACTGGAAGTTTTTGCTCCCCAGTGGGGCATCTTACAGGAGCCCATGAAGACTTGGGAGAGAAGCACGTGGGCAGCTGATGCGTGAATGAAAGAGCGTGGAGAGCAGTGAAAGGAAATTGTGATCCTGGCCTGTGTTTTCCACCCAGTATTCTCAGTAGTTCTATGGAAGTGGTTTATCATTTCACTCCATGTTCATCTTGAACGTTTGACTCCATCATCCAGAGTCAGAATGTGTGTTTGGGTTATAGAAGGTGGGAGGATTGGAAAACCTGATGTGCAGGAAGAACCTGGGAGAGTTTGACTTGTAGGGAAGTGCTGAAGGTGCACCAGGTTTCTGCTCAGGTGCTCTCTGTGGAGGGAGGCGGGTGAGGGGATGGGGGAAGAGGCACCAGAAGTGTTTTAAGGCTGGGAGCGGAAGTAAGTTTCCAGTTGTGGACAGTGGTGAAAGACAGTGAGGTCTCACCAGTGAAAGGTGCATGATTGTCTCATGGGCACTGATCTCTGCTGTAGGTGGTGGGACACTAAGGCCAGTTCTGGTGCTGGGTTACTGCCTGCACCTGCAGGATGAGGACCAGAGGCAGGGTTTCTGGTGAGGCTCCTTTGGAAGGTGCAGTCGCAGGCAGCAGAGCTATGCTCTCTCTTGCCCTGTGCTCGCGGAGTGCCTTTGACCACAGTGTTCCCTCAGACAAGGACTGACCTTTGGGCACATCCCTTAGGAAGTACTGAAGCTGTTCCCCAAGAGCCCTGGTGCTGTCACCAGAGGGGTGGGATGGCGGCTCCCATCCATCTCTTTAAATGGATCACATTCCTTGGCATCAGTAAGCAGCTTTATTTGTGCAGAAGGTGGAATCAAATAGAGATTCCTGTTGCTCTGGAATGTCTGCACCTTTCAAGCCATGTATTGAGTCTCCTGGTGCCATCAGTAAGCAGCAGCTTGAGAAGGTTGATGGCATCTGAATTGCAGAACATTTTCCTTTCAGGGCTTAGTGTCTTCATGACTCTGGGTGGCAAACTGTCCTCTCACAGTAGCAGTGGGAGCTGCCAGCTCTCGGTCACACAGCTGCTGGTTTAGGTGTGGAACGAGCTGAGCCGCAGCTGAACGCACCCAGGGATGACCTCTTGGGCAGCAGGAACAAGACCATGGGCTGATGTGTTGGGTCTCTCTGTCTTGCAGGAAGCAGTGGCAGGAGCAGCGGTTCTGGGCACTTTGGCCACACCGGGGCTGGTGTCTCCAGCCCTGACCCTGGCCCAGCCCTTGGGGGCTTTGCCGCAGGCTGTGATGGCAGCACAAGCACCCGGAGTCATTACAGGTTGGTCACTCAGGTACCTGCTCCAAAGCGTGTTCCCTGGAGCTGTAGCACAGCCAGGTTGAACCTGATGCTGGATCCCTCCTTCCTCCCTGCCCTTGGCAAGAGCATTTAGTTTTCCAGTTGTATAGTGTATCAAGAATTTATTTTGGTGTGTAATACATAGGACAGAACATGGGCTTCCAGCAGGAGTGCCTGGCACTGAGGGAAAATAGGGATCATTGTCACTGCGTGCAAAGTCCTGCACCCTGACTCCCTTCTGGGCCAGTGTAGGGTGCCTGTGTCCTGCTTTTGTCTCCCTGGTGGTATTGGTGCAAAGCAAATAAACCCATCTGCGTTCTGTGATGCTCTTACACTGCTTGGTGTGTACCCAGGGCTTGCAGAGCATCAGCTCTTTATGCAACAGAGTTTGTGCTCTTGCAGGTGTCACCCCTGCCCGGCCTCCCATTCCCGTCACCATTCCACAAGTGGGAGTTGTGAATCCTATCCTGGCAAGTCCCCCGGCGCTGGGTCTCATGGAGGTCAAAAAGGAGAAGGAGGAGGAGGAGGTGTTCCAGGAGTCGGAGCGGCCGGAGATGCTGAGTGAGCAGGAGCACATGAGCATCTCGGGCAGCAGCGCCCGCCACATGGTGATGCAGAAGCTGCTCCGGAAGCAGGAGGTGGGTGCAGCGGGTTCCTGGCAGCATTCCTGGCTTTAGGACAGCCCTAACGAGGTGTAGTCTGTGGTTTCCTGCAGCACACGTTGTAGGTACCTCACAGGGCTGATGCGGGGCTGTGAAGTCAGCCAGCTTGTGTGCTGCTTGTGATGGATCTTACACTGACTGGGATCTTCTCAGAGCTTCTCTGGGGGTTCAGAGTAGTCACGTGGTGAGAAGACTGGGCTGGGAGTTGTCTGTGCTGGCCACCAGGTCGGGGGGGATTCTCCCCCTCTGCTGTGCTCTGGGGAGACCCCTCCCTGCAGTCCTGGTCCAGCTCTGGGGCAACAGCACAAGAGGGACATGGAGCTGCTGGAGCGAGTCCAGAGGAGGTCATGGAGATGCTGCAAGGGAGGAAGCAGCTTTGCTCTGGAGCCAAGCTGAGAGAGCTGGGCTGGTTCAGCCTCAAGAAGGCAAGGCTCCTGAAGGGGAGACCTGAGAGCAGCGCCAGTGCCTAAAGGGGGTACAGGAAACCTGCAGAGGGGCTTTGGACAAGGCCCTGTAGGGACGGGACAAGGGGGAATGGCTTTAACCTGCCAGAAGGGAGATTGAGGTGGGATCTTAGAAGAAGTTCTTCCCTGTGAAGGTGCTGAGGTGCTGGCACAGGGTGCCCAGAGAAGCTGTGGCTGCCCCATCCCTGGCAGTGTTCAAGGCCAGGTTGGACACGGGCTTGGAGCAAGCTGCTCCAGTGGAAGGGGTCCCTGCCCGTGGCAGGGGTGGAGCTGGATGAGCTTTAAGGTCCCTTCCAACACAAACTGTTCCATGATACATGAGAGCTCTGTTGCACATACTCTGACTGTTGTGTAGTTATCCCCTATAATGGGATGTACCTGGTGAGTCCTCAGTTGTCAGAGGTATGACAGACCTGGTTGATCCTGGTACTTGGTTTAGAGATGAAGAGAAGTGTAAAACACACGCTTGTAGTGTTGAAGAAGACAAAGCAAATATAACTGGATAGGAACAGCACAAGGAAAATTATGGCAATCTCCAGGTGAGCTGAGCTTCAGGGATGGGTCTAGGAGAAGCCCAGGAACGGCCCAGGGCTTCCCTGCCTCAGGCCAGCCGCACCATGGGGGAGGTTTGCTTGTGCTTTGGATGCCTAGGAAGAAAATATACTGATTTATCCCTGGGACGTTGCTGATTCTCTCAAATATGCTTGTAATGCCGTAACACTGGAACATCTGGTGATGCTCAGGCATGTGCAGGGTCTGGTGGGGCTTCTCAGATTTGATCTTAGTGTCTCTGGTGTATTAACTCACTTGTCCCTTTCTCTGCAGTCCACTGTGATGGTGCTTCGCAACATGGTGGATCCAAAGGACATCGATGATGACCTGGAAGGAGAAGTGACCGAAGAATGTGGCAAATTTGGAGCTGTGAACCGGGTCATCATCTACCAGGAGAAACAAGGAGAGGAGGAGGACGCCGAGATCATTGTCAAGATCTTTGTGGAGTTCTCCATGGCCTCAGAGACTCACAAAGCTATCCAGGCACTGAACGGGCGCTGGTTTGCAGGGAGGAAGGTGGTGGCAGAGGTGTACGACCAAGAGAGGTTCGATAACAGCGACCTCTCAGCATGAACTCTACTGAAGGACTTTTCCCCCAGCCCCTACTCTCACCCCAGGGGGGGTTTAGCCTCATGTGAAGAGGGCTCTGGGGTGGGCCCTGATCCCTGGGATGTAGTTTGGATAAACACACAGAGAAAGCCACTGTGCATCAAGTGTGTTCATGGAGTGAGGCTCCTCAGCACAGGCCTGGTGTGTCCCCAGAACAGGCAGAGCCTGAAGAGCGCTGGTGCTTCTGCTCCTGCCTTTGTGCTCTGGTCATTCAGAACCACTCAGGTCATGATCCCACTGCAGCTGTGAAGGAGCTGGAATAGCAGGCTCTCCAGAAATGGGCCATAAATGTTAGAGTGGAGGAGGGAGTCTCTTCATGAGGTATTTCAGCAGCAGTCTGGACAAGGGGGAATGGATTTAACCTGCCAGAGGGGAGGCTGAGATGAGCTCTTAGGCAGAAATTCTTCCCTGTGAGGGTGCTGAGGCGCTGGCACAGGATGCCCAGAGAAGCTGTGGCTGCCCCATCCCTGGCAGTGCTCAAGGCCAGGCTGGACGGGGCTTGGAGCACCCTGCTCTAGTGGAAGGGGTCCCTGCCTGTGGCAAGGTCTGGAACTGGATGAAGCTCTAAGGTCCCTTCCAACACAAACCAGTCTGGGATTCTGTGACTCCAAGATCAGGTGTTGTACAACACAAAATACTCCAACATGAGCAGAGCACAAGTGGATGAGGAAGAGCTGACAAAGTATCATCCCATAGAGAACAAGCCCTGACTGGGGAGGGACTTTGTTTGCCTGCTGTCATAAAATCATGGACTAGTTTGGGCTGACAGGACCTGCAAATGTCACAGGTCCAGTCCCCAAATACTTCAATAGCTCTTAACAGAGATCTGAAATTGGCCACATGCGCTCATATCTAATCATAGAATCCCAAACTGATTTGGGTTGAAGGGACCTTAAAGCTCATCCAGTTCAACCCCCTGCCACGGGCAGGGACACTTTCCACTAGAGCAGCTTGCTTCAAGCCCCTGTGTCCAACCTGGCCTTGAACACTGCCAGGGATGGGGCAGCCACAGCTAGAATGAGGATTCTGAAGCAGGTGTAGCAATAGGCCGCATCAGGCAGGTCAGTACGGTGTTAGGCTCAGCCTAAGTGGCTGAAGTCTGGCTTAATTTGTGTTTAAAATGGTTTATTCAGCAGTGCTGGGGGTGTGTGGTGGGGGTGTCTGACTTGGGGAGCTCACATTCTGATTGTGGAATCATAGAATGGGTTGGGTTGGAAGGAACCTTAAAGCTTATCCAGTTCCATCCCCCTGCAGTGAGTGGGGACACCTTCCCCTAGAGCAGGTTGCCCAGAGCCACATCAGCCTGGCCTGGAATGTCTCCAGGGATGGAACTGGGCAACCTGTGCCAGTGTTTCACCATCTTCATTGGACAAAGGATCTTCCTTGCATACAGCCTGAATCCCCCTCCTCGAGTTTAACCCTGTCACCCCTCGCCCTGTCACAGCAGCCCTGTCAGCAGTGTCCTGCTTCCCAGTTGTAGGCATCTTTGGGTGCACTGTGGGTCTGGTGTGAGCATAATAGGAGATGGGTACCTCTGCACAGCCTGTCAGGCTTCAGCCTCAATACTCCTCTTAAGTGGCTGTAGACACAACGGCTTTCAGACAGGGTGACCAGGTAATGGTGTCCTTGAGTTTCTGCATCTCTTCCTGTTGACGGAATCACAGCATCAGCTGTGTTGGAAAAGACCTTTAAGCTCATCCAGTCCAGCCATTGCCCAGCACTGCCAAGGCCATCACTAACCTGAAGTGCCAAGGCGGCACTGAGGGCCTCGGCTATGTGGGTTTTGAGTTCTCTCTAAACCAGGGCCTTTCAGACTCACTTTGGATCCACCACACGGCAGAGGAAGTTCCCAGCTGCGGGCTTTGCGCCTGGCCCTTCAGCAGCTCTGCCCTTGGTGGGGGAATGATGTGGGAAACGTTACAGAAGTTACCTCAGCACCTGGACACCACAGAGCTCCATCCTGGAAGTGTCCCAGGCCAGGCTGGAGAGGGCTTGCAGCAAGCTGCTCTAGTGGAAGGTGTCCCTGCCCGCGGCAGGGGTTGGAGCTGGAACAGCTATGAGGTCTCTTCCCACCATTCCATGAGCAGGCACTGAGCCGCAGCCGCCAGTGCCGGTGTGTGTGTATCCGTTATCCAGGAGCCCCCCTGCAGCTCTCCCGGTCTGTGCCACTGCGTGATTCTGCTCAGGAGCTGCCTCCTGCGGGAGCTGCAGGGGTTTCGGCACCGTCAGCTCCGCTCCCGAGGCTGCTCCAGCCGCTTTCCTGCCTCAGTGGCTCCCAGTGTCCTGTCCCAGTGTCCCTGTATCCCGGTGTTCCTGCTGTCGTAATGTCTTGGTGTCCCTGTATCCCACTGTCTTGCTGTTCCTGTGCCCCTGAATCCTGGTATCCCTACATCCCGCTGTCTTGCTGTCCCCATGTCCCTGTATCCTGCTGTCCCCATGTTCCTCTGTCCCGGTGTCCCTGTATCCCGCTGTCCCCATGTCCCTGTATCCTGGTGTCCTGCTCTCCCTCTATCCCGCTCTCCCTGTATCCCTGTATTGCGCTGTCCCTCTATCCTGCTGTCCCTCTATCCCAGTGTCCCTGTATCCTTGCTGTCCCTCTATCCCGCTGTCCCTCTATCCCGCTGTCCCTCTATCCCGCTGTCCCTCTATCCCACTGTCCCCGTGTCCCTGTATCCCGCTGTCCCTGTATCCCGCTGTCCCTGTATCCCTGTATCCCTCTGTCCCTGTATCCCTGTATCCCGCTGTCCCTGTATCCCGCTGTCCCTGTATCCCGCTGTGCCTCTATCCCGCTGTGCCTCTATCCCGCTGTCCCTGTATCCCGCTGTCCCTGTATCCCTCTATCCCGCTGTCCCTCTATCCCACTGTCCCTCTATCCCGCTGTCCCTGTATCCTGCTGTTCCCTGTACCCTGTATCCCGTTGTCCCTGTATCCCGTTGTCCCTGTATCCCGCTGTGCCTCTATCCCGCTGTCCCTGTATCCCGCCGTGCCTCTATCCCGCTGTCCCTGTATCCCTGTATCCCGCTGTCCCTGTATCCCGCTGTCCCTGTATCCCTGTATCCCGCTGTCCCTGTATCCCGCTGTCCCTGTATCCCTGTATCCCGCTGTCCCTGTATCCCTGTATCCCGTTGTCCCTGTATCCCGCTGTCCCTGTATCCCTGTATCCCGCTGTCCCTGTATCCCGCTGTCCCTGTATCCCGCTGTCCCTTGTATCCCGCTGTCCCTGTATCCCTGTATCCCGCTGTCCCTGTATCCCGCTGTCCCTGTATCCCGCTGCCGCTGTATCCCGCTGTTCCCGGTGCTCCGGCGCGGGGCAGGCCGGGAGCGGACTCGTTTTCCCAGCGACGCTCGCGGGGGGCGGCGCGGCTGCCGGAGCCGACCTGGGCTGGGCGGGAGCGGCGGGGCCGGATCGCGGCCGGAGCCAGGCCCGAGGCGCGGCCGGAGCCCCCCGCGCGCTCCCGGTTGGCCGGGCCCGCTCCCGGCGCAATGCTGCGCTGCATGCCGCCGCTCTGGCGCTGCAACCGGCACGTGGAGGCGCTGGACCGGCGGCACTGCTCGCTGCAGGCCGTGCCGGAGGAGATCTACCGGTACAGCCGCTCGCTGGAGGAGCTGCTGCTGGACGCCAACCAGCTCCGGGAGCTGCCCAAGGTGAGGCGCGGACCGGGCCCGGTGCAGGCCGCGGGGAGGGCCCGGCGTGGCCCGAGGCCGCCGCTGCCGCCTTCCTCCGGCCCGGGAGCGGCCTCCCCCGCCTCGTTCCTCCGTGGCCTCGGCGGGGAGCGCGGCTCCGCCCGGCCGGACCCAATGCCGAGTCCCGGAGCCGAGCTCCGGAGCCGTTGCGGTTTGGAGCGAGGGGTTCCTTGTCCTGCCCGCGGTGTGTGAGCCGGACCCGTGCGGAGCAGGGCGAAGCTGGAGCCTCAGTGCCCGGCGTTAATCTGTAAAATACAAAGGAGTCTGAATAAGTTTATTGGTGGCGATAGAAACGCCTTGTACTTGTGTGGAGCAGCACCTGTGGCTTCGTGCAGAGCTAGAGGATGGATCGGGCTGGAAAGGAGCTTAAAGCTTCTCCAGCTCCAACCCCTGCCCCGGGCAGCGACCCCTTCCACTAGAGCAGGGTGCTCTGAGCCCCTGTGTCCAACCTGGCCTTGAGCACTGCCAGGGATGGGGCAGCCACAGCTTCTCTGGGCACCCTGTGCCAGCGCCTCAGCACCCTCACAGGGAAGAGCTTCTGCCTCAGAGCTCAGCTCAGTCTCCCCTTTGGCAGGTTAAAGCCATTCGCCTTGTCCTGTCCCTACATCCCTTGTCCAAAGCCCCTCTCCAGGTTTCTGGTAAAAGCCACTGGCTAAAGCCACTGGGAGCTGCTCTGAGGTCTTCCTGGAGCCTTCTACAGTTCCATTCAGCCACAGAGCTCTGCATTGGTGACATTGGTAATGCTTTTGGAGGCTTTAAGGCGTTGCTGGGCTGTGGGATGTTCTGGAGGAAGTTTACACATCCCTGTGGAAACTACTGGTTTATGAAGTTAGTGAAGTACAACTTGTGCCAGGGAGAGAACGTGACTGTAGTGCTGCCTGCATGTGTTTGGATCGCTGCTCCTCAGTGAACATGGACCAAGTCACCTCTGCAGTGAAAAACTTGAGAAACAGTTGATTATTTTGTGTTTTGAAGCTGCCTGTTGAGTTATTGACACGTCAGGAATTGTGCCATGAAATCTGGGAACAGCCACCCGAAACCTTGGCTGAGGCTCAGGCCAAAGTTCTGTTTGGTCCAACCAGGCAGTTTGTGCATCTCTGCCTCAGTGGAGTCTCTCCTGCAGGAACAGCAGATTCCTGCTCTCTCATGTTTTGGGTTCCCTCTTCCCTTTGGATTGCTGCGAGCTGCTGCTGGTGGGGTTCAGTTGTGAGGGTGCGGAGGTGCTCGTGTGATCCTTCATCAGCTCTGTTCCATCGTGTCGCTCGGGGTCTCACTATACTTTAGTTCCCAAGCTATGGAAGGCATGTTACAGCCGGTTGGGATTTAGGGACGAGGCTCTTTTCTGCAGAGGAGGCTCGAGGTGACACATCTGAACCTGCTGATCCTGGTGCTGTGGTTACACTGGACCT